AAGTGGGGAAGGATTGAGGGTGGGAGGTGGGGGTGGGTGGGGCAGCAGAAAGTGGTGGCAGGAAAATGGAGACAAATGTACTTGAACAATAAAAAAATAAAAAAAAATAAAAATTTTTAAAAATGTATTCTAAAAAAAAAAAAGTCTTACTAAATAATTCACAGATGCATCCTAGAAAGGGGCTATCCCTTCAGAGCTAGTGTAAATATATTGATATTCTTTCATGTGGGATAGCATGTTTCAGAAGAAGCAGGTTCTGGAAAGAGCCATTCTGTGGACTGTTCCTCTTGGGGTAAGGCAATGTTACTGAACAGTTACCAAGCAATTTGAAAATGGGCCTTTGTGAAGGGAGACCTTAGTCAAAGCTACTAGTGAATAGGCAACCAACACAGTTCAATGATCTGTATAGCAAAGGAAAGTTCTTAGTTTCTCTGAAGCAAGAATCTTGACAATCAAACATTGTGGGGAGGGTGTAAGAAAAATATTAAATATTTTCTGGAGATTTTACTGAATCAAATGGATATTACCTGCAGTCGATGTTACTATTGTGTTTTTATTTTCAAGTGGTTACCCAAGACACTGTGTTTTTATTTTTAAATGGTTGCACAGGACATGTAAGATGTTACCTATAGGATGGTCAGGTTTAGCAAATAAAAATACAGGATTTTTCCCTGGCTGGTGTGGCTCAGTTAGTCAGAGCATTATAGCCAAAAGGTTGAGGGTTTGATTCCTGGTCAAGGCACATACCTAGGTTGCGGGTCTGACCCCTGGTACAGGCATGGCACATTTGACCCAGGTCTGGGGGTTTACAATCCCCAGTCTGGGCGCTGATTCCCTGTCTGGGTGCGTTCAGGAGGCAACCAACTGATGCTTCTCTCTCACATCAATGTTTCTCTCTCTCTTTTTTTCCTCCTCTTTCCTTTCTCACTAAGAGCAATGAAAAAAATGTCCTCGGATAAGAAAAATAAAATTTCGGATACAGAATTCCCAGTTAAATTAATTTCAGATAAATAATATAATTTTTAGTATAAGTATCTCCTATGCAATATGTCTCGTAATATGTAAGACAACTAACAAATTATTTGTTATTTATCTAAACTTCAAATTTAACTGGGGCATATTATAATTTATCTTGGAAACATATTGTTATAGTTTACTAAAAGTTGCATTTGTTTGACATGTAGAACTCAATTTAAATTTCAACATGAAGTCATTGCTGTCTTCTCTTCCATTTTCAAGTACCAAAATTTCTTGTCTGTTTGCATTGTTTCTCCACCCATCTCACTATGCTTTTAGGTGCATAATTAAAAATATGTTTTAGTTTTATTTCTGGTTCTAAAGAAGACAGATTTTAGAGATCTAATTCAGTTTCATGCCTTTTATTAAAGACATCTAAATTTTCTTATTATCTGCATCTAAATATTTCCACTTTTTTTCTGTTAATGTTTGTACTCATGTTTCATTTAGCTGATCACTGTACTTTAAGGTCGTCACTTTTTTTGTTGTCCTAAGAATCAGGATTATTTAATACCTTTGCATTGGCATACACACCAGTAAATGATCAGTATGAAAAACATAAGTCATTATAAAGAAATTTTATTCCTGTAAGGGAATAATACCATTTCCTACAGACATAGGGGAAATAAAAGCTGGAAATAAACTAAAATATAAGGAACTGTTACTATTATTTTATATAAAAAGCTATTTTTCCATGAACTTGGTTTTATAAAGAAGACAGTCAGCTCTGAAAAGCTTAAGGAAAAGACATCAATGTCCCCGGTCCGCTTCCCTCTGCAGGTGGGTGGTGAGGAGCCTAGAGGGATCGTCTCTGCAAACCAGGCCAATCTTGCTTCTGTGATGTATCTCCAACCAGAATGATCTCAGAAAAAGGAAAAGTACAGAAATAAAGATTTAAAAGATTTTATTTGCAGAGGGAGGTTAATGGTAATTGGACTGTGCTAGGTTTTCTAGAAGAGCCATCCCTACAAAAATTACTATACATTTATAATATATAATAATCTGATCCACACTAGTACAGTATTTCTCTAGCTCTTGCAATGAAGTTGAGTGGAAAATTGGAATTTAATCACATAGAAAACTTGGCCTTCTGGCTTAATCAGGCCAAATTGAGTATATCCAAAATAGATGTTTTCTGTTCATCTTAATTTAGATGTTTATAACATGATTGATAATTTGCTGAAGAAACACAAAGGATCATATAAGGTATTTATATTTAAAGAAGTCTGTTCTGATGCTATTTCTTACTATCTAAAATCACTTGCTCCACAGCGGGCAGCTTCTTTTTGACAATGACTTAGTAAAAAGCCTCTGCAGCAGAACATGGCATTAGAAATATTCTAGAAACCGCCACAGGAGCAGCAGGAATGAAGTCTTGGGGCGTGCCAGCGTTCTGAGGTTAGCCTGAATGAAACAGCCTTAAAGGAATGGGAAGCCAAAGTGCCCATGATGAAAGGTGGTCAAATTAAACATCCTTCTCTCCTGGTCTGATCTTGACTAGTGTCCCTCTCAGCCCATTTTAGTTCGGGCACCATGACTGCTAAGAGGTCAGTTGATTACACATGTTCTGTAAAAGGAATAACCATCCTTTAAGATAATGTCCCATGTGGAGATGAGAGCTCCATAATAGAGGAACCATTTTCAATGCATCTGTATCAAAGTCTAAGAAACACAGCCCCTAACAAGTGTAAAATAGCAAATACTCAAATTCTTTTCAGGCACTCCAGGAAGGTTATAACACAAGGGAAGTATAGGAAATAATTGAATGTTTTGGCATTGTGAGAATATATAAACAACATTGTTTCTCAAAAGAACTGTTGCTGGAAATTCCATAAAACAGCAAATAAGTTTTATTCTTCACAGAAAATAATGGTTAATTGGCCAATAAGTTACAAATTTTTTCACTTTGTAATTAGTGGTCAAATTGTTTTCATTGTTATTTTATAGAACAAATCAAAGGTGATTAATATATTTATCTGTAATTTTGACTCTGAGATATTTCCAAAAAGGATGTGATTAAATCCTTATAATTAAATTAATCAAACCACCCTTTGACAGAATTTTTTTTTCATTAGTTGGAGAGATAAGAATGTACAGAGTATGTGAGAAAATAAGCTAATTCAACCAGTCTCCTTAGGTAAGGTGGCTATTACATTTAAACTTTAAACTTTAAATTTAACTCTGGATTCTAAGGAAAGCTGATAAACATGATGAATTATAGTAAAGTTCTTTTACTTTTTTCATAAAACAAAGCATCAGTTCTTCACAATGATGCATTGAGATGCAACTAGTATTTATGCATTGTCTGTGTTGGACCATCTAGGCATCTAGATAATTGTGTGTTCAGGATTCTGTAGATATTTCCTATTAATGGGTTACGGTTTTCAAATACTTCCATTTTGTACAATTCCCAGTTTTAAAGGTGATAACATACTATATGCATGTAACACAGTTTCAATATTTCATTTTTAACTGGGCATTTTACCAAACACCACCTAACATTACAATGAGTGAAATTGTTGAAAGAGGGAATACATGATATGAAAAGAATTTTGTTTTGTACACTGGACTGTGTTTGGCTTTGCTAGAGTCAGGATATGGCGGCCCCCTCCACCACCGCCTCCATTATGTTGAGGCTTGTTTTTACTACCATTTTTTAAAACTGATACAATATAATAATAAAGGAAAAAAGAAAAGGGAATTAATCTGTCCTTTACTTATAATTATCATTTTTAAATGCATCATTTTATTTTATTTTTTATTGAATTTATTGGGGTGACATTAGTTAATAAAATTATATAGTTTTCAGTGGTACAATTCTATAATATGTCATCTGTATATTGTATCATGTGTTCACCACCCCAAGTCAAGTTCTACTTCCTCCCAACCCCCTTTCCCTCTGGTGACCACCATACTGTTGTCTGTGAGGTTTTTGTTTGTTTGTCTTGTTTTGTTTTGCTTATACTTTTAATTATCTGAATGGTCATTTGGATCACAGAGTCAGTCCAATGCCATAACATTTGTGATAATAGAAAGAACTCAATAAATTGAAAAAAAACATGGCTTTGATGATACATGACTCATTCATTTAGATGATGTTTTTGAGCTGTTTCTTCATGCAAAACATTGCTAACACTGAGGTGTAAGAGAGGAGAGAGAAAAGAAAAGAGGAGAGGGGAGAAGAGACATAGCGAGAGAGAGAAAATAGATATGAAAATAAAATAGGTATAATAAAATAGATATCTGCTCTGGAGAAGATCTCAGTGAGCGAACAGTTCCATAAAAGTTAGACTCTGATTCACAATATATAGGTATAAACATTATTTTCAAATGTAGGACTAATGAAGTCTTGTTGACTGATTTTTAAATACATAAAGCAGAATTACTTTTTAATTTTTTTATTTTTCAACTACAGTTGACATTCAGTATTATTTTATATTAGTCTCAGGTGCACAGCATAGTAGTTACACTTTATGTAATTTACAAAATTATCCCCCTGATAAGTCTAGTACCCTGGCACCAAATTCTAAGTAGAGGTATTTACCTTTAAAAACCTAAAGTTCTATCTCTCTTCTCCCTCTCTCTGTGCATCTCTATCCTCTCACTCCTCTCCCCCTTCTCTTTTCTCTCTCCTCTTTCCTCTCTTACCCACCAGTGAAGGCTGTGTCACACAGATCCCTAGGAATTACTCAATTTTAGATCTGGTAAAATGGCTGGCCGGCTGCCACACAGTTACCTACTCTCTGCCTCCGAATCCTAGCTGCAAAAAAAAAAAAAAAAAAAAAAAAAAAAAAAGGTGTTCCTTGAATCATTAATTATTTGACTCCTTAAAGAAAACTATACAGCCAGACCTAATTTTTTGTGGTTTTTATTGTTTGCTATTAACTACTTTAAAGTGATTCACAATTATTTTAATATCATGCCACCTGTAAGTGGTGGTACGGTATATTTTCAAAGTTCAAATGTTGTTTTCTTTATTACAGGTTTCTTTTCTCCATGGAAAACTCCAAAGCCTGTAAGTTGGAATTATTATGCTTCTTTCTTTATTTCTAGTTATTATTGCAATTCCATTAAGTGACAGTTAGTGAATTGGGCAACCTCAAAATCTCTTCCACCTCTGAGGTTCTGTGATGTCAAAACAACAAATCTTCTGTGTCCTTTTGTCTTGTATTTGTCCCACAAATATAACTCATCTAACTTTCCTGTAAAAGCATGGATGCCTATTCAGTAATAAATATGCTTAGAAAATGAACATTAACACTATTCATGATGGTGTGCAGAAAATACTTTAGAAACCTTTTTTATTTTCCCTGTCAGAAATACTACAGTCTTTATAACATGGATTTTTAGAAAGAATGAAAATTACAGGCCCAGGGGTCTTAGCCTGCAAGTTAGATCTGGTCCAAAAGAAATTTAGCTCTGTATAGTGTGTGTGTGTGTGTATGTGTGTGTGTGTATGTTTACATTGTAATGTATACAGAGGTAAATATATATGTGTCTGAAAATGTGTGTATGAGGGGGGACCCAAAAAATCCAGAAGTTATTTATAATAAATAAAAATATTGTGTATGTATTCTTACATGTTTAAACTTCAGTCACCTTCAAAATACTCTTTATTTGATGCAATATACCTATTGCGATGTTTTTTCCACTGCTCAAAATAGATTTTGAACTTACCGGTTATGATGCTTTTTAGTGCTTCTTCCTTTTTTTTGTTTCACCTCTTCCACATCAGCAAACCATTTCCCTTTGAGGACTTTTTTCATCTGGGGAAACAAAAAAAAAGTCGTTCAGGGCAAGATGGGGTGACTAGGAAGGGTGGGGCATAGGGGTCATGCTGCCTCTGCTCAAAAACTGCTGAACACTCAGCACAGTGAGGGCAGGTGCGCTCATAAATCACCCATCATGAAATGGGCAAACGCCCATTGGAAGAGTCTTCAGAAAAATTCACTGAAGCCGAATGCAGCCTCTCACGAAAACACCAGCTGGCGCACTGATACAGATGGGTCTCTATAACACTCACTGAGCAGAACAAGCTCTCTCTCTCTCTCTAAAGAGTAATATCTCTTTAGAGAGAGAGAGAGAGATTCCCCCCACCCTTCACCACCAAACCTGACAATCACTCAAAGTGATGCTTCTGAATCTTCTTCAGATACTGGTGATCTCTGCTACTACCTAACCTCTCTGGGCCTATTTCTTTTATGAATCGTCCTGCAATTTTGATGCTAGTGTAGGAGGCCGAGAGACTTTAGCAATCTTCTTATGAGGCTTGGTTAACCCAGCTGGATTACTCTGCAATTAGAAAGGATCTTTATTTGCCATTAGAATGAAACGAGTAATTGTCCAAGCCCCAAGAGCTGGGACTGGTTTTCCAGGATCCGATTTTATGGTGTGTTAGAATACACTGCTCAGACTGGAATATGTGCAACCCATGACCAGAAGGGTGTGTAGCAAAGTGACTCCACCCCCTTCTTCTCTTTCCTCTGACAGTAATCAGCTCTGAAGAAAATGCCCTCAGTGTGACCAGTGAGTAGGAAATTCTTGAGTTAATTGTATGTTCCTCTTATTCCTTTTACTGAGGGAACATTTAACTGCTTGATTTTCTCATTTTGGAAATGGAGATAATGAAATTTTACATACTTTTCAAGTGCAATAACTGGCAATTAAATATTATGTCTTGAACATGGTTTGGAGGAGTGAAAATAAAGTATCGTTGAGCCCCATAAGAGGAGGAAACCAGAAGCTGGAGTGAGGGGCTGAGGGTGCCAGGGCTGGTTTCCCACCAAGCATGTCCTCGTTTTGGATTTCACTCACCTGGTCCACAGACAGTATCAGATGGGAACACCAGACCTATCTGGGCTTAGTAAGCCACTTAGTGATGATGTGATTTTGAAAAGAGATATTTAAAAATATTTGAAATGAAATTTGTTTTATCTTGGCCAAAATCTAAGTAATTCCTTCCTTTTACCACCAGAGTTAAATCTGTACTCTCTGGTTATACACACCTTTATCTAATTTAACAAGGAACCTTGCAGCCTCATCATGGTGCTACAATTATGCAATTTAGTGATTTCCTGATATGTACCACATTTAAACAAATTACGCCATTTGGCATAAGCACAGCATTTGCTGTCATTAAAGTAATTACATCCATAGTCAATAATTCCAAAAAAAGGTTTTATAGAACTCAATTTACATTTACTCCTGAACCCGTACACCCATGCAAAAGTTAAAGCTTGGCCAGGTCCTAGGCTGAGTGAAGACAGAGGACTGTCGATTTCATGTCCTCCATGTAGCTGTCAGAAAGTCTTTAGACCAAGGACTATATAATAAGAGGCAGTATAGTATGTGATTTAGGGTACAGGCTCCGAGGGACGGCCTGGGTTCAGATTTTCCTTTGAGCTCTATGACCTTCAACAAACTGCTTAAGTTCGTAGTATCTCAAGCTCTACCTCTGTAAAATGGGGACTATAGTAGTACCCCACTCATACGGTTCTTATGAAGAGTTCATGAGTTAATCTATGTAAGGTGCTTACATGTTAAGCTCTAAAATATAAACTACTAAAAAATAAAATATAAACTACTGTCATTCTAGAAAGCAGATCCTTTATGCATGAATTCAATAAATTAATCATTTTATGAAGGAATGTAGCTTGCTAAACTATTCATTTAAATAATGTGTAAATACATAACCACAGTATATGGATTTAAACACTTTCTCCTCTGAGGATTGGTGACATCCTTAGTTAAGATAAGGAAATGTTATCCTGAGCAAGATCACTCCTCTTCCTTGTTCTGTGTCACCTTCTGACCTTCTTCCATCCTACTGATCCATATCTTAAGCCAATCCATGTCAAGATAGTCACTTCCCACTTAACAAGTACTGTATTAATTATAGTGAGTTCTCCTTCTCTCCATCTGGACAGAATCCAAGTTCATTCTGCGTGAACAGAATCAAGCCAAATGGCTTCATCTCCCAGCCCTGCCCTAACATAGTGAGCAGGCATGTTTAGACTATGCCAGCTTCTATAGAAAGCAAAGAGTTTCTAAATAGAGTGTTTCATGAGGTTTGGGGAAAGACCTGCCTTATTCAAAGCCCTCTACTTCCAGCGTACACCCTAGAATCAGAAAGTAGGCTTTAAAAAATTAACCTCACCCTAATTAGGTTTTTCCACTTTACTGTTTGATGTCCCGTTGTAGACTGTCTGTCTCCTCTGTCCAGTATTTAGGTGACTGCCCTCTCATACACTCATTCATTGACCAAGGCCAGCAGAGATAAAAAGTTTGATATAGAAAACAACTTCATTTTTCTTTCTCTAGTGAGATGTTTATAAACATCGGCCTAGGTATAGATGCCACTGGGACTGGACAAAGCTCAGTCAGAAGCCTTGATGAGAGGAAGCCTGGCTGGTAGCACAGCTCTAGACAAGTCATGGCCAGAACATCAAGTGAGGCCCATGACCTGGGCAGCAGGACAGGGTCAGAATCTAGGGGTTTCATGAAGGTTGACAGGAACAACTGAGCACAGAATGTCCCAGTTGGAAAGAAAAGTCCAGAGGCCAGGTTGGAAAGAAGGGAGAGATCAACAGAGGGCACCCTTCACAAGGTGCTGTCAAATCAGCACACAGCCCCAGTGAGCAGGGGCTGATCTCTGACCCCAGGCCAGTGCCTTGTTCTGTGACCTTTCGTGTAGGAGCCGACAAATAATTCACTTTGGGGGTTATAGGATGCTGTTTCAGTAATTTCATGGTCACAGCGGCTTTCTGCTCGACAGTCTTCTAGGAAACCCTGGCAGAGTGACTTGAGGGTTGATGAATGTCACAGTAAGATGTTGTGAAATTGCTTTGCTAAGCATGAACTGGACTCTTTACTAGTCCCCCCATTTCTGGGCTATCAAAATTGTAGAATTTGTCAGTCTGCCACAGAAACTTCCCCAAATAGTACCCAAAGCATCATTTGTTCTGTAGTTTTAAAAATGTTTTTAGAAATGCTTATATTTATCTGAAGCATGTTTGCTCCAATGACTGTACATGAACAATACATATATGAGCAAGACCTAGGTGGGTTACCAAATAACCCCGACTGAAAGATGGGAGAAAAAAACTAGAGATTTGCTGCATCTCTATGACAACAAGTGGGATACTGCCACTACTCAGACTATGTTTCTAATGTATTCACTTTTTAGAATTTAATACCTTATGTTTGGAAACAGGAGGGGGAAAGTCACTGCCAGAATGCATCCATGTGATGCCTAAGGTCAAAGTGAAAAAATGAATATGCCTTTACCCACAAATGGGGGTCTTCCCATCGCAGCCAAGACACCCATAATGGATGACCAAAAGAACCCAGAATGGCCTCCTAGATGAATTTTGCTATCAAATGAATTATGAAGTATATATTTAAAAATATATACTAAATGGGGGCAAAAGGCAGAAAATTAGCTAAAACTTTAAGCAAATTTATCAATTATTTCTCTCAATGTATTCTTATGTAAAAAAGCATTCTGTCACATATGGTTCTGACCAGGGTCTGCCACTGATAGCCGTTAGACCTCTTTGCTCCTTTGGAGATTATGTTCAATATAGGCGATTGAACTCGACTAAGGGTTTTCCATCCTTGTTAGCTATAGAACCTTTCTTCAAATGAAATCTTTCTTGGTGACACATATAGAAAACAAATGAAAATGAAGCCACTTGTTTTATTCCCTTCAGACTGTTCCAACAAACTACCATAGACTAAGCGACATATATACAACAGAAATTTATTTCCCACAGTTCTGGAGACCAGGAAGTCCAAGATCAAGGCACCCACACATTCAGTTCTGCTAAGAACCCATTTATTATATAACTGTGTTTTCTCTGTAATCTTACCTGGCAGAAGGGACTAGAGAGGTCTCTGGGGTTTCCTTTGTAAGGACTCTAATCCCATTCATGAGGGCTCCACCCTCATGACCTAATCACCTCCTATAGGCCCCACTTCCTAGTACTATCACCTGGGGTGTTAGGATTTCAACATTTAAATTTTGGGGAGACACAAACATTTAGATCATAGCACCAGTCTTACTGAGAGGAGTGCCAGTAACCCATTTCTTTCCTAATTTGCTGACTCTCCTGACTCCTGCCTTAGTTGAAGGTAGGTGAGCAGCTCACAGGGACCTTTGTGTCACACAGTAACCTGTACAGTACATGGTATCTCACATCCCCTCCAGCTTTAAAATACTTATCACTGAAAGGTGAGAGGTGGCATCGAAGCCCCAACCAAAATATAACCCACGTGAAAACAAAGGAGGACTGTACAGTAGGAGACAGAAAGTTTTAATTCTGTCAAGCTCAAAATAGTGTGTATCAAAACTGGTTTTAGAAAAAAGAACAAGTGACAATATTTTTTCGATGAGTTCATTCACTCACTAAACATTTTCTGAGTATTTACTAAGTGTTGGTAGTACAATGATGAGAAAATCTGCATCCCTTGCAGCCTCTGTCCTAACATGATCTATTTGAGGAGACTTGTAATTATAGCTGGGTGTGATGAGTGCTGAGAGGGTGGGGGGGGTGCTGTGGGAACACCCAGGAGGAACATGTAACCAGACCAGGAACAGTGAGCAAACACCTGGAAGAGGAGAGATGCAGCATCTGAATCTAATAGCCAGGTAAAATGAGGGAGGGATTTGGAAGAGCAGAAAATGGGTAAACTTTGCAGGTACAAGAAGTTAAGAAAGTATGCAAAGGGTCGCAGGCCCGAGATCACTTGATGGATCCTAGGGAACGTGAGGAGAGGCCATCAGCAGATAGGAGAAAGGCAGCAGAATCTGGGTCATGGAGTTCCACAAAGGAGTTTGGCTTTTCTCCTGAGGACCATGCTGGCCCAATGCAGAATTTTAGGCAAGACAGTAACCTAATCTAACTTTTACACAAAGCAGGTTTATTCGAAGCAGAAAAGTTGAAGGTAAGTTTGAATGAGGAATCAGTTGATCAATAAATGAAGGTGAAGTTGGTGGTGCCAATAGGTGATCTCAGTAAACCTGGCTTTTTCCCTGATGAAAGGATGTTAGGCCCTGCTTTATCTACCTCATGAGGCTAGGGTGAGGATCAAAGAAGATTATATATACTAAAGGACATGGTAAACTGGCAAGTGTCCCATGGACCTTTAATAAATTGCAGTGGTAGCAACAGCAGCAGCAGTATTATGGAAAAGAAACCAACAGATCAGCAGTAAATGAGGCTTCATAGAAGACTCTGAACAATTCTCCAATCCCAGATGAATGTATTATTACTAATAAATTGTAAGGAAAGTGATTGAATGTTCAAGTGTAGGACATTGTTGGGACATGCGTAGGTGTCAAACGAACATGTGCTTTATCATCTGTTTCGGTAAAAATAATGTCATGTATTAAAACCATATTCAAAAAGGAATAATTCCATATATTTTTAAGCACTTGCACATAAATTATCATGATATACATGTCCCCTATATTTTATAGAGAAAAAGGAAAAACAGAGTCAGGGAGATTACCAGGAAGTGATTTGCTGAAAATTACCAGCCTAGAGGTGACAAGGCTATATAAGTTTGCATTCAAAATTCAGGCACCACTTGTGTTTATAACAGTCTATGGTAGTTTACTATATAGATGCAGAGTCCTCTTTTTCAAGGCCCTTAAAATATACCATTCGATATAGCACGAAAAAAGATAAAGTACCTAGGGATAAATTTAACCAAAGACACAAAAGACCTGTATGCAGAAAACTATGCAACATTGAAAAAAGAAATTAAGGAAGACACAAATAAATGGAAGCATATACCGTGCACATGGATTGGAAGAATTAATATCCTTAAAATGTCCATACTACCAAAACCAAAGTTTTTAAGTGTTTCATGGAAGAAAAGTCCACAGGGCAAGGAAGTCTAACTTAAAGGTGAGGATTGTGCTGTGTGACAAAGGAAATAGCAGGAAAGAATTTGTCAGTCATTCCTTCTATTCTTTTCCACTTTTCAGATCATGGACCGATGGGAGAATCAAGGCAGCCCTCAGACGAGTTTATCTGCTCCGGCTGTGCCGCAGAACTTGCCCTTCCCACCCGCCCTTCACAGGAGTTCCTTTCCTGACTCAACAGAGGCCTTTGACCCGAGGAAGCCTGACCCCTATGAGCTCTACGAGAAATCTAGAGCCATTTATGAAAGTAGGCGTAAGTGAAAGCCACAGAAAACAAGAGTGCATTAATAATAGCTGAAGCCCTGCCAGGAGTTATATTGAGGCTGAAATGATCTGCTGTGATTTTTATGTTCTGAGATTCAAAAACTGTCTCAAAAGTAAAGCCAGCTGATCTAAACATTTCTCTAAAAAAAAAAAGAATTTTAAAGGCTGCTGACTCTAAAAAAAGCTTATAGCCTTTGGTTAAATTTTATTTCTCACTTTTCCTCCATAGCTCGTGAGGAAAATCAGGAATGTATTTGGAATGGGGGAGAGGGCAAAAAGAGGTTGCTAGTTTTCTTTGTCACCAAATAATAAATGCTTGGCCCTTTCATGTTTAATCTGATCTTGAGTCTGAAATTTAGATTTTTGTCAGAGCCTTGAATGCAGGTACTGAAGAACTTAGTGCTGTGAGTAAATGTTAGGCACATCCTTCCATCTCACAGTCAGGGAAGTAATAGTTCCAAATGCAGCCCAGAGTCAGGTGCCAATCATTTGTACCAGAAGCTTCTCATTTAATGCAATGGGGCCCATCTGGAAGTTCAGCCATAAAATACAATACATGTGTGGACTTGTCACCCTATTTGAAGGTCCTCTAAAATTATTTCATTGCACTTTATAAATATTAGAAAACAAAAGTTTTTAATATTGCATATGCATTCATTGTGCCTCTTTCCACCATCTAACAAGCCATCTCTGCCAAATGTTAGAGGACAGGAATCTGAATGGCATGAATGTATAATGTGTGAGGGAAATACACAGTGTAATACGAACCTGAGTAAATGGATCGAGAAACCCAGCCTAGTGAGGAGCGTTTGGTCCCCGGTGCTCCCGTTTACAGTCTGCTGACTTCCTTTGATTCCATGTTCCGCCAGGGTATTCTTTCCAACTTTATCACTGAAGCATGAATAGCAAGTTTTACATTGTCTGTGTTCTCAGAGGCTCTCAAATATGCTTATTCTTTGATGAATCATACACCCAGCTGGTAAGGGGGAAAGTAGATGTAATACCATTTCCCCATCCTCTTCAACTCTTTGTAAAAGTAACTTTGGTTGAGAAAATACTTACAACAGCAGACCATTGAGAAATTATTCTCATCAAAATGAACCTCACTCTATCCTCTCTTTTTTTTTTTCAATAATCAGCTATGAGTTTCATTTTTCCTCTTTTGGATAAACAACTGAAATGTCTTTTAAAGATTGTGTAGTTAAAATGACTGCTGTGATAGAGTAAGACTAAAGCAGCCTTATTTTATATATATTACATAGGGTATTAATAATGCTCATTAAACTGAAAAAAATTTGAAAAGATTCCAGCACAGTTCTTAATACCTTTTATACTTCAATAACCAAGTATTCATTGAACACTCTACACTTAGCACCGTGGGGAGATATCAAAATTGAGTAACATGCCCTGCTCTCAGAAATTTAACAGGGGAAATAAGAAGAGTAAGTAGAAAGAAATGGAGATCAAGACACAGCAGAAATTCTAACATGAAAGGTGGAAACACATTGCATCCTCATGCCTTTGGCTTGTTTAGTTTTTTATCACATTTAAGGAGCTTCCAGAGATGCTTCCTCCTGTTTTTGTCCCTTCATTAGTCATCTGCTCCCATCCTTCTGCAGCTTCCTAACCAAGGCAAGCTTTCTTATTCAGAACAAAGGCAACATTGGTATTTATTCCATCTTCTTTTCATGGGCCCCTGATACTGTTGTGACCTCAGTTTCCGAGCAGGAATTGTGCGTGACCTTCTTTTCAACCCAGAAAGAATTCTGATCTCTTTATCTAGCCGCTGCAGTGCTGTTTCTGTTCATTGCCTTTCTGCTCCTCACCTAAAAACCAAGCAAACTAATCCACCCTAACCCTCCCTAACTTCATTTCCAGTCTTCCTCCGGGAGCACTTTATCCCTTTTGGCTCTTCAGCCACCCAAACAACACACATCCCCAATTCCCCACCTTGTCCCCTGTGTCCCCGATGGTGCCCTTCATATGTCACCACTGCTGCCACTGTACTCATGGCCCCCCTTCCTGTTTTCATCAACGCTCTCTGTTTGTAAGGTCACAGCAATGTTTTCAGGGTCACGATTCTTAGGAAGCCAAAAGAGGGCAAGCTCATTTTCTTTCCCATCCTTTTCTATCATGTTATTTCATAACACTAAATGGAGTGTGAATGAAACACAGAAATCATGTCAAGGTAAGAAAGCTTTACACTGAAGATTAAGGAAGCCAGAAAATCATAATGTGACTTTCTCCAGTCTCTGGGTAGCTGATCTGTTCACTCTGCATGTATCTTAAAGAACAAACCCGCCCTTTGACCTTTATACATTTCGTTTCCAACTCTAAAAAAATTCATTCTCTCATTCAAATCTGTAGAACACCCCCCAAAAATTTTTTTAATGAATAGGGGTAAGCTCAGTCTCTTTCTCGCCATCCTCAAATAAGTTTTCTGTAAAAAAAAATGATTGTGAAATATATGCATCCAAATAAAAGGCCCATATTCAAATTTTTATTGTTAACTACTCCTTATTCCCTTGAACTACATGCATAATATTTAGATTTGAATCTATTTATTCTTGTGTCCCTGAACTTTTTTTATGAGAGAAAAATCAGTGGGACCAGGGAGAGAATGGGAGGGAATCCTGGCCAACACTGTCTAAACCAAGTCTTTTGACATTTTCCCTGGTTTATAGCGATCTCATCGTCCTCCTTTACAACCAAATCTAAAGAGATTTTTTTGTATTCACATTCAAAACTGAGCGGCAGGAACCGAATAAAAGGATGTACCTCCACCCACAAGCGTCTGCTGTACAGAGCTAAGAATGTTTGTTATATCACGGCTGTCAAGGAGTGTTTGGATTCAAGTCACTAGTCCCCTGCAAATGATGGAAATTTATCAAATGATGTAAATGCTGCTGTGCCTCATTTGGCTCATAATTAGATTATGCTGACATTTAATGTGCAGGCACAGGACGTCTTAATAAAGATGTATTCTGGGGGAGAAAAAAAAGTAGTGATTTTAAACAAAGACAACCATAGGATACTGGTATCGCCTGAAACAGAACAGGACAGGTCCGTGCTTATAGAGGAAAGGTAGGAACATCTCCCGTCTTCATAGATCTTAGGATGAGGTGGGAATGAAGAGAGAGAAAGAAGGCGGTCCCACCGAGCAGGGAAGGCCATGCCTCTGACTTCAGAGCACCAGGCAGAGTGCCCAGAGGTGGGACCTCCAGGCACCACATCAATCAAAGAAATTGTATGAGACGCTCGGTGTGTGTCTCGAACGCTACTGGGCACTCCACAAGGGAAAAACCACGAGAAAGAGTCTCTGCCCAGGCAAAGCTCACAATGGAATTGACGAGATAAAAAAATAGGAAAACCATTTCTGAACAAGACTGTATTACACAACGCAGCAAATAGGATCAGTAGTTTAACATGAGAAATTGTGCAGTAGTTTCAAGCCAATTAGACCAATAATTTCTCGTTCCATGTGCAAAATTTGTATTTAACCAAGAGCCTGTCTTGTATTAAATACCTTTTAATGATCAAAAATCTAATTATTCCTATTGGAGAACTTTGTGGGATAAGAATTTTTTTCCCACCAACTTAATTCCATATAAACTTAAAGCTCACATACATAAAAGAAGAACCGTACTCTCCAGAAAAATCCCCCAAAAAGTTTTGACTAAAAAAGTTTTGGGGATTTTTGTGTTAATTATTTAAGCATTGACCCTCTGTCATTACCCGCAATTCCCAGAAAGAGCAAAAACCTCACTCCTTTCTCTACTCAAGGCTTTTACAAAAATGTCACTTTTCTGTGGATTTGGCCTTTGTTGATCATTGATTTCTTGCTGTCCCCATTATTTGCATTTTTTAAAATTGAAGACAAAGGAAAATACTCCCCTCTGAGTTATGGGAAAAGCCATGCTGTTTTTTACTTACACCGCCTTAGTTCTTTCCCCGTGCATCTCATGAAAGTAGGACTTTAATTTTCTCTGCAATCACAAGAGGAAGGGCTTAAATTTTCTCAGTTTGCATGCTAACAGTCTGAATGTCAGACTAAGTACACCATTTCTAACCTTGAAAAAACAGCCTATTTCTAAAGGCCCTCACTGCTTTCACCCTGGGACCTCCTCCTGCCATTCTGTCTCTCTCTGTGCTTGCCTCATCGCTTCAGCCACATCTTTGTGACATGATAAACATCTTATAATGCCTACTTATCCAGGAGACTACCTAGACTTGTAAGTTTGCCTAAAACGGTCCTGCCCTATGTTGTCCTGGCATGATTATTAATAGCTCACCTTTCATTCACCAGGTTGTCCTCATTTTAATGGTAAATTATATGGCTACCCTTTACTACATCATCTGTTAAAGCAATAGACATCATTACCCTCCAAGAAAAGCATGCATCTAAATGTACCAACTGTGAATAAAATTCTTATGACCTACTCAGATAAGTATTTTCGTTCAAGTTACTGTATTTGATGGACTGATTTTTTGCCCATACATGTTTTTTTTTTTCCTAATTTGAAGTACAAGACTTATGTGGTGGCTTGACTTAGAAGCCAAACTCTCAGTCAGCTCCCTCTATACCTGGAAAATTGTACATATGTAAAAATCTAGAGCACAGCACACTAAGTAGAAAAAATAGGGAGCAAAGCTTCACTCATTCAAATACTAGATCATGGACTTCTCATTCTTATCACAGAGAATAAGTCAGACTCAATGTCACAATAATCACAGGACCAAAAGGGAGATAATTTTGTCTGTCTTCCTGACCCTAGGAAAGATTGCACTCACATAACTGCAGATAGGCGACTATCATGGCTCCTCTCTTTATTGCCCAGCAAGGCAATACAAAGTGTTTCCCATAGAAAATGAATATGGCTTACTCTGGGACCTTACAAAATAAAGTTTGATCATGCTAATGAAGTCGATTTAGGAATGAGGGCCTTGTCCTATTGCTTTAGTTTTCCTTAAGCCAGACTTATTCTGAAGGTTTGTTTTAGGCTCAGCTCACGGGGCCATTTCTTTGGCATACTCCTCACTGTGGCCCCAGAAGCTAGATCAGACAAGCAGATGGAAACAGAAAGAGGCAAAAAACAGCCCATTTCCTGAAGCTCTCCCTTCATGGTTCTGTACCTTGGCGTGAACTCAAGCTGAATTATGACTGAAGTTGCCCAAACTTTTTTTTTCCACAATGAACCTTAGTTATTATATATAAACAATTTATGGGGTACAACATGTCCATACTGCTTTGTAGTAAGACATCTTTCAGATGTAAGATCATAAAAATGTCAGGGATATGTATGGTGTAATGTGCCTTATAGTATAACCTCTTTGAAATAGAAATTTCTCTGGAATTTCTTCAAAAAGAGCTCACAGAATCAGTTTTTCTTTCTATAAATTAGGAAGCATTACTCCATAATAGGCAGTGAGTATGACACCAAAGGTAGCAATCTAAAGTAACCACAGGCCATTAAAGAGCAAAATGGAGCAGCAAACTGTTTTTTAGTGTTATACTTGATGTGACATCATAATTTGTAGCCGATCAAAAATGGACAATTTTGTTTTTCACATCTGCAGTTTTTATTCTGCCCTTTTGTTGTTCACTGTGGAATTCTTTCATTGTTCAGTATTGTAATGCACATATAATTCATAGCTAATCACAAATGGGTGGTTGTATTTCTAACCTACTGGTTTCTCTGCTGCTTTCCTTGCTATTACTAAGCAAGGGTTTCTACTATCTCCCATACTAAGAGCAGAACCACTTAGAAAAATGGGCGGTGTAAAAATACTATCCACCACAGCACAGCATTGGAGACACTGAATGGACACTGAGGTGGGAGCCACATGGCACAAGGTAGAGGCACAAGATGTGTAGTGCTCACAGCCAGAGCTCCGAATCCTGTGCAAGCACTTCTGCTTGAGCCTACCCATCTCCAATCTCCTTTGCCTTTATGATTAAATACCCAGTATGGTCAAACTGGACATATCAAGAGACTTAAGAAAAATTTTGATAAACTCATAGATGCCATAGCGGCGGGCAGCTGTTAAGTGACCATGAAAGGCCAGCTGAACTTCCTAGAGAACATCTCCATGCCTGAGCCCTGTCACATGAAGACCTGGCCCCATTTGCTCTGACACTGCTGGTGTCCAATGGCCTTAAAGTGCCCCTCACAAATGTCCTCTGGAGCACTATCGAAATGTTAAAATAAGATGACAGGTAAATGCTAAGCCACTTTTACTAGTGACTTTAGCATGAGAATCATAAAAAACTAAAAAAAAAATTAATAACATTATCATTTAAAATGACCTCAACTGTACTATGAAGGTTAATTTCCTGTACCTTTTTTCCATGGGAAAATCATTATTGCTATCTTTAATATAATTTATATCATGGTTTGATCTGTGAAAAAAATTTGCCTTTCAGCTAGAGCTTCTAATATTATGTGTCACTTTGCAGTTATAATATATTGATAAAGATCAGTAAATCCAGTTAAGCTGTCTTTGCCATTTTTAATGTGTAAATTTTAATTTGGAAATCTAATTTCAAAAATAATATCTTCAAGTAGCTTTGTAAATAACTATGGTAATATTTATATTTCTAACAAGGTCTTTTAATAGAGAAAGTTACCATGATATGAACTAAGTAATAAATAGAGAAATAAAATTTAGGTTGGAGACACATTTTTCACATGTATTTTAGAAATTAGATCTAATCCAATAGCTTATAAAGTTATTTCATTCAATAATTTAAAACTTAATGCTCCTAAAATCAGACAGAGGATAATGGGGGGGAGGGTAATGTGAGAAGTAAACTCTAAAATCAGTCCTTGATTGAAAGTTATTTACTATGTCAAAGCATTTTCTTGGTGGCACAAGTTGACAATGTAACCCATAGTGCTTTCATGAATAAATATGAGACCATCAGGGCTGCAGTAAACCAAGCGTAATTGCTGGATGACAAGTAGGTCCTAGTGAGATTATGATTATATAAAATGTCAGTTTTACAACTAATGGACGTGTTTAGTGGTAGGAGTCTCCCATCCCTCCTCATATAGCTCTCTCTCTTTCTAATGAAAGGGTATTTCTCAATTCATAATCCTAAGCAGTCACACTGAACATGAGATTTTTTAAAACAAAAAAATAACAGTTCTGCTAGAAAATGAATTTGCCTTTGCTGTGAAAACATAGATTGCCTGGCAGCGATGGCCACCCTGCCTGTGATGAGTGAGCCTAGCTGTGCGGGGTGCAGCAGGGACCGCATGCTAAACACAGCAGACCTGCAATCCTGTGCCCCATCATCGCCCTCAAGAGGCTTCTATTTTCCTTTTCATGGTTGAATAATGTAGAACTCTATTTGAAACAAACAAAGCTCATTATGAGAAAATAATCAGAATTTGGTCTTACTTTTAATTTTTTAAATTTAATCATAAAATAGTAGTGCTTCACATATATTTCATAATGCTTCCTAATATTTTATACTCACATTCATGAAATTTTATGTTATATGTAGCATAGATTACGTCATAATTCTCATGAAACTTTTCTATTGCTAAAATAAACCAATTTAACTCAACTATTAATACCTAACTTCAACTATCCAGAGTAAGTATCAAAATACTTGACTGGTGTACACAAATTAACACAGATGTTGATTGAATTTTTCATTTTTCATTATATTTGATGACACATTACCATAAAATGATTTTTTTAAAACCTATACTTATTGTGTGTATATTTTTCTCTGGATTGACTTTACTTTCAAATAAGCATTCTTATAATGACAATCAAAGGTTAGTATTTGGGAATGGTGATCTTTATTTCCACTCCAATCTAAAGAAATTCAGATTTTACTGTTTTATGTCTATGTGAAAGAAATACATTTATAGGCATGTTCCTATACATAAAACAGTAACTCTGTCCTCTAACTTCCATAGATTTTAGAGAAAAATAGTCATTAAACATGAGCACAGATTAAGGGTGAGTTATAATAGCAACAAAAAGAAAGTAAAGATGAATTTTAAAATGCCATAAATGAATCTCAATTTTACTTCCCCATTTTCCCATCCAGAACAAGTGCCACCAAGGACCAGCTTTCGAATGGATTCCTCTGGCAAGTATTCTTCAGCTCTCACAGTCCTGTGAATGATGTCTTCCATTTTGTATAGCAAATCATTCTTCTGAGTAGTGTCAGTTTATTAGTGTATAATTTTTATTCACCCATATAAGCATGTATTTAAGATAGAAAGCAAGTCTCATTAAGGTGGGCTTGAATGGCTGCCAAGGAAAAAAACAAAAGACAAACGGAAACAGTCATATTTCTTTCTTTCTTTCATAAAATGCTTTAGTAAAAGACTCAAGTAAAAACCAAGCAACAAAGAAAGCCACCGGACTGACTAGATGCATGCTGTCCAGTACTGCAGCTTCTAGCCTCATGTGGCTATTGGGCACTTGAAACATGTCTACTCTGAATTTGGATATGCTGTAAGATGCGTGCAAAGTCTGCACTGGATTTCAAAAACAATACACAAAAAAACCAGAAATGTATAATATCTCATTAATTAGTTTATATTGATTAATGCTTAAATAAGATTTTGAATAGATTAGGTTTAAAATATATTATTAAAATTGATTGTGCCTGTTTTGCTTTTTAAAATGTGGCTACTAGAAATTTTTTAATTATTTATATAGATTACATTTACTTTATATTGGATATCCCTGGACTAGATACATATACATAGGAAGCTAGAGTAATTAAAGACATTTGCAAGTTAAACATTTCCAAAGAACATATTAGAAATGTTGCTATATAGAATGAAATTATTTTCCCATCAATTAAATCTATAAATCTATATCAATTTTTTTCAACCATACCAATTATAAAATGCTACATTTCAAATAGTTTTTAAGTTAGAATGGAAAATTATAATTTCAGGTTTAACAGCTGCTAGTAATAATTAATTTACTTAAAAGAAAAAAATTTGAGCCAACCACTCTGAAAACCCCAATTTTGGTTCACGCTAAAACATTTAATGTTATTATGGAAATGAAAGAGGAACAGGAATGTTCAGATTTTTTAATTCCTGAGAAGTGTTTTGAACAGCTGATGAGAGCACTGGATTCAAAGCCAGAACACTGAAACAACTGCAGAAAGAGCGTTTTGTGGTAATAGTGCTATTTCAGGTCTGTAGGCCCACAGCACACATCTCTAGAGTGTTTCCATGATGACAGCTCATTATCCATCTCAGCGTGTTCTAACACCCCCCTGGAGAATATGTGTGCTGGAGATCATTTCATTCTGTAAGTTTCCATGTCATTTTTTGGGTATGTAGAAAATATGGAAGATATATGCTTAGCATTTTGCCCTCACATAATATCTCAAGTATTTGTTTATCCTGGTCTGAACATTTTTAAAGCATGATCATCCTTATATACTGACTATAAAATCCTGATAATGTTTAAGAATATCTTATGCCTAGAGGGAAAATGAGACCTCATAATTACAGAGCAAAATAAAAGCAGGACTTAATTTGAGATTCTAAATCTCAGCTTACTAGCCACAGCCAGCACATTTCTTTAAAAAAATTCTCAGCTTCTGAATGTACTTTATTTAAAAACAAAAGAACCACCTAATAATTTAGATTACCTTAATGTATGTGCAAAGTACTACATTTTTTACATAAAAAATGTACTATATCTTTTACATTTCAAAAGATATACATTAGTTAAAAGAGAAGAATTATAATACAGTTTGAATATATTATACTGTTGTGCAATCCGGGTTTTCAAGAAGAGAGCTGATGCAAATATTTTGTGAAATGTCCACACAAGTTATCAAAATATTCTGGAAAATCATGACTGCATCCAAAAATAAATAAATCTCCCCTACTACTTCTCATGCTTATAAAACATCCTTTATCAAATTCTGTGTCATGATTTTTGACTCAGATATACTTATCATAATTATAATTCAGCTGCATAAGATGCAAACTTGGTAGTAGGAATTCCCAAATAATGTAATTATGAACCTAAGTGATAACTCCATTGTATAATAACGCTGTGGTTTATGGGGTCAGCTAGATTAGTACCTTAAAACAATTAAATTCAAGAAATATTTATTTGGCAACTTCTCTAGACTATGCACAATGGAATAGTATAGATTGAATCACTAAAAGAGAATGTTAGTGAGAAACAATGAATTCACTTTGAATAGACAGGACCTTTGAATGGACAACACCCAAAGACAAGAGAGACAGGGCATGGAGTGTCATGGAAACCAAGAGTAGAAATCACTTTCAGAGGGAAATCTTTCTTTGTTTAGAAATAAAAATATCAGGGGCCCTAAGGGTACATCAACAGTATCATATGAGGCACAGAAATCAATCAGAATGAGGAAAGAGAAAGTTACCATTCACCTTGGTCATTAGGATGTCATCAATGACCTTAAAGAGAATAGTTCAGTAACGCCAAAAGAGCAGAAACAAGACTGGCAGGAATAAGTCACAGATGAGACAGTGAAGATAAGGGATTGAAAGCCCCACTGGGGGCTACTCTTCCAAGAGAGAAATGGACAGATAAGTAAGGGAGTATTAAGAATAGGGAAATCTGAATTTATCTGAAAGATGAGGGAGCAAACCATATAGAGTAGAAGACAGCTTCTAGTACAGCTAAAACATATCTTACCACATTCCCATTGTCAAAAGTATAAAGGAAAAAAGTAAAGAGAAGGGATTCTTTCAAGACAAATGTGGTAGTTACTTATGTGGTAATGTTAGATTTGAGCAATAGAAACTATTTAATTCCTGTTTAACTCATTCTATATCTGGAGTGCATCAGAAATCTAGAAGCCAGAGACATAGGTAATAACCACCTGTAATTTCTGATTCCATCCTCTTACCATCTTTCCTAAACCTCTTTACAAAGAAAAGCCAAAAAGTAATGCTCTTTACAGCAGGAAAAACTGAATGAATTCATTCTCTGTGCCAAACTGATAATAAGCTCATGGTACTTATGCTTTAATTAAAACATGAAAGGGAACTCAAGCACCAAAATTTAATTGACATGTTTACAGCATCAGCCCATGTGCCAAATTAATCCATAAAAATGCTGTTCTTTGCATTTTGAAGCTTGAATCATTCATAAAATTAATCAGTTGTGTTCAGTCACCCATCATTTTCCCTAAAACTGTGCACAAAGCCATGTCTTTTGAAATCTAGATTAAGGATGCATATAAGATGTGAAGCCCACCTGTAGTCTTAGTGTGAAATAAGAATCAGCTTAGAAATCCTGCTGTTCTTTATTATGAGGAAAGTTGCCCTAATACTTGGATGTGGCCACCATTTGCTACTTTTAAATACTTGGGTGTGGCCACCATTTGCTACTTTTAAATGTGTTAGCTTTTTCAATATTCGTGGGAGCCCAGGATAAATCAGGACTTGAAAACTCCATTCCTGTAGCTTGCCACAGTGGTCATTTAAAGTCCCATCTGGGATGAGTATCTTAAGTGGTTTATTTCATAATGACTGAGGACCTGGGACCCGATTTCTAAGGCAGAAACAACACTCGCCATGGCTGGCCATTGAACACCAGCGTCCAAAGAGTGTTCTGTCTCTCTTCAGTCCATTTCTTCACAACCGCTGCCTCATCTTGAGTTTCACCAAGCAATACTTGAGAGTATTCCTGACAGTTCTTAAAAAAAAAAAAAAAAAAAAAAACCTGAGGAAAAGAATGGTTAAAAAAGAAAAAAGAAAAAACCAGCATGGAAAGAGAATAAACAAGAAAATAGAGGAGGGGGAAAAAAAGGATGTTGGTGGGGGCATGGTTGAGTGACATTCAAAGTGACACAGGTCCCACTAAATGTCCACCAGACCCCTTAAACGAACAACCTTCCAAGTGCATGGTAGTGACTGTTAAATTCTGTCACAGTGGAGTGAAGAGTTGGCCCTTGGATTTCTTTGCTTTAAGTTCTTACATTAACAGAAGACATAAAACATGATAGGATAATTTTAAACATGTCATCAGGCCAAAAGAGCAGCTAAAGGAAAGTATCATAAACATCATAATCTTTCAAGAGAGCTAACAAAGCAAGAAGGAAAAGAGTCCTGTCTCCCAGCTTTGTGCATATAATTATTGTTATTTTCTAAACCCAGACTCAAATTAGGATGGGGAGGATAAACTAAAGAAAAATTATCTTTCTAAAAGTTCTTATTTTCCCTAGGGAAAAAGAAAAAAAGAAAAATACCACTGCTTTAGGGTACCATCTATCATTTAAATGTTTTTTCCAGTTGACTATTTCTCTCAGGTTTCCATGATCTGCAGTCTCTGAGTCTGTGTTCAAATTAACAAAGAAATAAAAAATACACCGTGTCTGCTGGCACTTTTCTAACAGGTCTCTCTTCGCCTCTCTCTACTTGCTCATGTACCGTGAAGCTGGCCCTCTTCTGCTTGGACAGTTAGAGTGTAAAGATGGCGTGGATGGCACAAATCACCCTATGTTTGAAATCAGAGTGGTCAGAGCAACAGTCAGAAGATCCTAATGTCACCAAAATGCACACAAAAAAATAGAAAGAGGAAGAGGAATGCCCCACTCACATATGTTCTTCAAAGTTAAATAAAATTAACTGCCTAAAATCTATATTTCTTTGTTTAAAAAAAGGGGGATTCCTGAGTCATTCATTTAGGAAAAGCTTTCCAGTTCCCCCAGGAATCACAGCATTCTCTAACACAGAACAACTCCCTTGTAGCCTGGCATATCAATCCATTCCTGAGATTGTCAATTTCAACATTTGCTTGGGGAAAAGTTTTACTTCGTAAATAAATGGATTGCACAATAAACTCCTCTTACGCTTACAGTTACTCCTGCAATTTTTACAGTAATGCAAAAATGAGGATATTTATAAGAGTAGATGGAATGTTCTGGTTAAACATGTGCTAGCTCTATTAAGTGCCAAAAATATGTCATGCTCTCCTTGTATTTTTTATGCATACATGGTCTAGAGAGCTTAAAGTAATCTGGAGAGGAGATTGCTGTGAGCAGTCATATCACAACCAACTTTCAGAGGTTTGAACAGTGATTTGACATAATCTGTCATCTTGCCATCTCCCCTGGCCTTTCTTCCTCCCCCAGGAGGAGTGCAGGTACCTGCTGTGATTGTGCAGGGCTGCTCCCCCGGCCTCCAGAGTCCCAGAGGCTTAGCACACGCTGCAATGTGTGATTTCATATGTGGTATTACAGACCCCAGAATAAACTGAGTTCAAATGTCAGTTTGGAATTACAGAGTGTAGGGTAAAGTTATTTTTATCTTTAACTACCCAACTCTAATTAACTATTTAATAAGAATTACATTCTTCTCAGTTCTCTCATCTTTAAAATATGAATGATTATATAATTCATAAGGGATGACTAATAGATGTGGAAATCCAATTGGTTAGTCTTCTGTGAGTTTTATCTTAGTCATTGAATCTGTCTCAACTATGACTGCTAGTGTTCCAGACATAGCTTCTTGTCCCTTAAGAATTCTCTCAAATCTCATCCCAATTTCAAAAACCATCCTGTTTAAGCAAGGAGAATTTAACTTAATATTTGCTTCTATCAGTTCTAATACCTCCTTTAAACCATTAAGGGCAAGAGCTCACTAAATACTTCTTAAGCAAAGGATGGCATTAATAAGTATCCCCCAAAGTTGCTAATCATCTATTGACATCCTAACAGTGGCTGTGAAAGTATGTCCTACTCAGTCATCATGGAGACTTTCCTCCTGAGAAAGGACCAAAGGTCCAGGGGCAGCAAGTGGTCATAAATTACATGTTCTTTAAATAATCAAAAGATTTCTTAAGTTTTAGTTTATTCTAGGGTTGAAAAAATGACATTCAGGAGAGTTTCGCAGCTTGTTTTTAAGTATACATCTGTTCTTTCAGCTAACTGCAGAAAGTATTCTCCTTGTAGTTTACTTTAAATACACTAGTGGTGTCAACAGTGAACCTACTAATGGCTTCTACATTGGAAAATGTTTGGGAGTAAGAATTCACTTAGACCTAGGCAAATTTCTACCCTTAAATTATAAAAAACCTAAAGGAGTTAGAAAAGAAAAACTTTACTCAAACCTCAATATAGAAAACCTTAAATTCTATATTTTCTAATTTTTACAATGTTATAAGAAACATCTTTTGTAGGCATAAGTTTATATCCCCTTCTCCCTACCCCCTCACAAAACTGCATGCATCAGTCATAAACAAATATTAGTAAATTACCGGGTAGCACTCTACAAGGTAGTTCCAAGATATTTCCATCTCTTCTGTCATACTTCTAAGAGAATCATTCCAGTCACAGTAGACACCCTCAAAGTGACAGTCAGTCTTCTTAAGGATAATCTAAATGCTCTCAAGAAAATAAAGAACTATAGAGGCATCCAATTTTTTTTCACCCAGAAGATTTGCATGTTCTCCCTGCCTTAGCTGGTCATTGTTAGTTCAGACTGCCTAATTTTGGAATACCTACTTTTTGGTGCCATAACTTTTTTCATTCTCTATGCTCTCTATTAACTCTAACAGCACTCTCATTAATCACATCCACAATATTAACTTATCATTGGTGTATTCAGTCCCTCAGCAGCTGGGGATGAGGCAGGATTCATTACTCAATGGGATCTCCTTTGTGCCAGGTCCAGATTATAAAGAGCTGGATGTTCACCTTCGAAGGATGGAGTCTGGATTTGGCTTCAGAATCCTCGGAGGAGATGAACCCGGGCAGCCTGTAAGTGGAATCTTCTTTGTATCCACACTTTGGGCTATAGTGTGTGTGTATGCATTAGAAGAAATGCCATTATGTATGACATCGAAAAGGAAATTTTTTAGGACTCATATAAAAAAGTTAGAGGCTTATTTTTTGTTTGTTTTGCTATTTAAGTTCTCAAAATATGTCAGTATCTCCATGCCCATGTACCATCAGAAATCAATGCACATTATATTAAGAAAGGGACATTACTCTTTCTTAGAACAGATTGGATTTTTCTTGACTATCTCAGTGATTTAATTGTATTGGACCAACCGTGGTCTCTGGGCAGCAACTCCCAGGCAAACAAACTTCCTGTATGACAGAAGATACAGGTGAAGGGATGACTTGGAACAGAAGAATTATGTGTGTTTTCAATCAAAACTACAGGGAAGAGAAAGCACAGTGATAAACAGGAGTAAATTGAACCTTAATGCTGCAGAATTTCAACTGGATTTGAATTAAGAGATTGCCATAAGAAGATGTTCACAAAGTCAACTTCAATTGGCACAATATTGGGAATTTGGAGGGGCTCTAGAGAAATCATTCGCCCTATAACTCATCTTTTTACTTTTTTATTAAATTTAGTTGAGCAACATTGGTTAATAACACCATATAAGTTTCAAGTGTACAATTCTACAATATAATATTAATCCACTATCTGTATTTTGCATTGTGTGCTCTCCATACAAAGTTTCGTCTTTTTCCGTTCCTACCCACCGGTAAGCACAAGACTGTCTTATAACTCATTTCAGTCTATATACATAGAACCAAAAATGGTATCTAGTTCCTTCACATACATAAACATTTAACCTCTTGGTCTCTACGGGGTTCTTTTCTAACTTAGCTTCCTTCAGGATTGTTCTCTAACATATTCACATCCTCTCTATTTAGCTTGATCAGTGGTAATTTAAATTCCTTTTAAGCAAAGTCTTTGTCTTTTCCCTTTCATTGTCCTTTAGTGTCCCATAAATGAAAAGTGTGGCATTACCTGGAGTTAGCTAAACTCCAGGTTAAGATCTCAGATCTCTAAACTGCCAAGTCTGCTGAGCACGCCCAACACCAGCTGTAATGAGTTTGGAAAACTCTAAAGTCTGAGGGAAGAAGCTCCACAATACTGCCTTCACTTCAGACAACAGCTGCAAATCTGGGGGTTCCTACAGCCTCCCTCAGGTTACATAGTTCACTAGAACAACCCATAAAATTCAGGAAAGTGCTATACTTAGGATTACAGTTTTATTATTGTGAATGGGAATGAATTAGTACCATGCAAAAAAAAGATGCACATAGGTCAAAGTCTGGAGGGTTCTAAATGTGAAGCCTCCATCTTCCTCCACGATTTGTTACCCTCCCAGCATCGATCCACTCAGAGATGCCAACCATGGTTGCTCACTCAAGTTTTTGTGTCCAGAATTTGGGGTTTTATTATGAGGGCGTGAATGACAGAGTCATTGCCCAGGTGGTTGAACTCAACCTCCTGACCCCTCTCCTTCCAGAAGGTCAGGCGGATAATCACATGGCTCGAAGACCCAACCCTCTAATTGCATGGCTGGTTGTTCTGGCATGATCACCTCCCACCCTAAGGCTGCTGATATGGCTGGCTCCACCCTGAGTCATAGCCTCAGCATAAATCATCCTCATTAGCACGGACTTTCAGGTATGGCCCAAGGGGCTCACCATGGAAAACAAAGATACTCCTGCTCCAAGGTATAATGGTACCTTTTAGGAAAGGCCAGACCTCTATTACACAGCCATATGCTGAAAATGAAGGTGCCAAATGATAATCAAATGTAGGAAACAAAATGAAGCTATGTCCAAATTAAAAAGACTTTAGGTAATTTTTAGAGCATGTTGTGGGGTACTAGAGGATAGCTGAGACTTTGTAAAGTGCTTAAAATTAAATCCATATAGAATCCATTGTACTTAAACTAACATAATGCCTCAAACCTAACAACTTGAGGAGTCACCACCAGAAAGATCAGATCCTTGTTTGCTCCAGAACACACTTACGGACACACTTGTTTTCCTTACCAATCTGTGAGCTCTTTGTAGGCACGACTGTGTTGTGATGGTGTTTGTGCCTCCCGAGCCAAGCGTACAGGTTGGCACAATAAATAATTGTTAAATGGAATTTAAGAAAGTCCACTTAGCCAAACCAAAATGGTCACCTGAGTTTCTCAGAACAAATGTGATCTGGAGTATACATCTTTTGAGGCTTCTAACCCTACAGGCCCTGTAGGATTAAAATGGCCTAATCCTAGAGGCAGAGATGTGTCTTGGTATTCCTACAGGATGCTTTGTTTAGCCCTGCCAGTGCTTTAAAATTACTGTGCATCAACTAATTTCACATATTTAAAAATACGAATTTCCACCTTCTCTTGAAAAATATATCCGGCAACATTGAGCCTGCCTTTCTCCATGACAATTGGCTGGAGCTAAGCAGTGGTCTCTTTTAGACTAAGCATGGCCACAGTTCTCAAAGCTCCCTAATGCCTGTGTTATTTATTTTGTTTATTATATTTAAAACTCCTCTTCCAGATTAGATTGAAAGGAATTGGAAAGGTGAATATTTTGCACCAAAGGAATCTTCGACCAGAGCCAGATCTTGGTTTTAGTAGTCCCTACCATTGAAAATATTATCAGGTTCCTTCTCTTATCTATAAGTATAAATAAAAGATTAAACTATAAAATAAATGTAAGGGAAAAACAACAAAGTTTCTATTCTCCCTGTCATGCTTACTTCAATACAGTTTTTGAAATACACAATTCTTACTTTGGGAGACCTCTCCATGGGTTCATGGTCTGCCTTGGGGGTAAACTAGTACCACATTAAGGAAATACTATCGTCACTGGTCTCCCCTACCCCCAGAGGTAGGGGGGTTGCATGACAGTCACAGGGAAGGCATAGTCTCAGCCAGCTCAAGACGGGAGAGTTCTAGCTGAACCTGGCCTGGCACAGATGCGATAGAATTATTACCTGAATGGAGCACATACTGCTCAAAATGAAGCTCGGGTGTATGAACACAGCCATGGTCACCACCCAGCCTCAGGACACCTTTCTGCCTGGTCAGTACACAGGTTCCCGGGTTCCCAACCTGCTGAACACTGGCCTTGCATTCCTGAATCCTTTGTCCCTCTAGTGGGCAGGCATCCAGCTATGCCTTTTCCCTTTACATGGATTGCTGGTTATCCTTGTTGTATTTATTTAGATTTATTCTGGTTTATTCTTTCATTCGAATGATTTAAGACACATTCAGGCTGCAGCTCAGCTGTAAAGCAGAAGCCTAAATCTCTATCAAGCAAGTAAAGCCAGAAAATAATGTCTTGAAGACCAGAATATTGCACCTCAGAAAGACCATGTCAGGAAAAGCAAGTCTACTGTAAAGACCTCCCATAAGCCTTTCCTTCCTGCCTTCCTCCATTGTAAGTCCAGAGATAATATACAAACAAAATGTGCTAGCCTCATTTAATTGCTGGCATGCTACAAAGGGAGAGGTGTAGGAGGTGACTTGGTCCCCCACCACAGGAGGTCTCATAAATTACATCAAATAGGTTTCTGCCTCCATATATACGAAATGGTATTGACATCTCAGGGTGCACATTAAACACGACAACACAGCTTACAGCAAATAATGAACAGCAGGACTCCATCTCCAACAAAGCATATGGGCATTTTGTTTCCTGCAAGAGGAAATACTTTTCACAGTTAAATAACAATAGAAATAGAAAGAAATGAAAAATTGTCAGAAAGGAACAAAAATGAGATTTCCAGCTGCGAGCTAAAAAGAGATGGGAAGACATCAAGATGGAAAGATTTGGGAAACACCAGAGTGGAGAAAGGGCTGTGTGGAGAAAAACTGTTGAATAAAGAGAGAGGTAATGATAGACATTCTCCTTGGCACAGGAGTCGGGTGCAAACTTCTGGGGAGTTTCAGAAGGCAAGAGCCTGAAATCTGCCTGCCACATCATCAAATTGTCCCAGGCTGCAATTATTGCAGATCAGATCTGCCTAACCTTAGGTAGTGTGGGAAAGAATTAAAGGAATTAGAAGGCCTGCAAGGGTGGTTTTCATTTGTTTGTTTGTTTGTTTGTTTGTTACATGTTTGTTTTTGTTTTATTTTTTGAGTGAATTTTCCCCCAGCTTACTGGGATATTAGCCACTTGAATGTGAATTGCTGTTATTTCATATCGAATATTCTGTTTTGTTCCATGCCCTCATAACCTGTAAATAAAGTAGAGGTGGGGAGTTTTTTTTTTTTTAATAATTTTGCGTTTTTAGAGAAGGCAATCAGAAAGATAAGCCATGAGTGAGTTGTTCTTTCAGTGTATGCATATAGGAGGTGTCTTTCTAGATCTGTTTTGCTCTTCCTTCAGAGCCAGAGCAATAGAGGCACGATAAAGAACTCCTCCAGAAACAGTGAGAAAATTCATGAGTGGGCCTCAGGGTCTGCAGAGGCTGAAGCACCCAGTGAGGCCAGAAAGAGTAAGGGCAGTGTTGACTGGGAAGGCTCCCTGGGCTAGTGTAGCCAGCAGTCAGCAAACCCTGATGGGAATGTAGCCTGGTGAGCCAGGGAGCCCAGATTATGCACTCAAGGGGGACGCGCCCTCAGCAGACTTGGGAAGTGACGAGGGTGATGGGACAGGGAGTTGGGGGCAGGCACTGGAGGGAGAGTCCTTCAGGGGACTTAGAACATGACCAATGAGACCACAGATCCTGTGGTGAATGGACCAAGTGGGAATACTCAGAACTGTGCTACTCCAAATGTGATACTTTACAGACCAGAAGCATCCAACATCTCCTGGGAGCATGTTAAACATGAGGAATCAATCTCAGGCACCACCCCAGGCCTGCAGAATCAGACTCTCAGGGGTAGGTCCAAAAGTCTGTTTTACCACATTCACCAGGTGATTCGCATGCACCCTAAAGTTTGAGAACTACCGACATAAGGGATCGGATATCCTGAGGTATGTTTTTCAGAGCTTAAATGAACACGGTATATATACTGGGAAGCCAATATGAATCACAGTGCAAGAAGAAATCATGGATTATCTAGTCCCTGCAGTTACGGTGGCAGACAGGAAATAAATTAATAGAATGTGCCAAGTGTACAAAGCATATTTAAAATAGAGGGGGAAAAGTTGTGTTTTATTTTTCCTAAATAGGGAGTCACATAGAGCTGGCTCTGTGTCAGTCCTGAAATACAATGCATGAAAGTGTGAAAGGGCCAAAGGTAAGAACAGTAGCAGCAGGAGAGCAGAAGTAACAGTGTGTGTGTATTGGGGAAAAGCCCCCCAAAAAAGTGTAAGTTCAGGATTGATTTTGAAGATCTGATGTGTAGCCTATTCAAATTCATAAGGGCTTTAATAGGAGCAACTTACATACACAGGCAAAGCAGCTGCCTGCTCCCAGTGGTGGCCTCCTGGGAATAAATCCACCCCTCTGAGGACACTGTTTCTTTTTCGTAGGGGGTTAATAGTAAAATCATATGCTGGGCAGTCATGTAGTCTACCAGAGAGAACAACACCTTTCTAAGTTCACAGATAACATCAAGCAGTTATCCATACTCAATATATTCATTAACCTCCTTCTTGGGTGCATGATGTTTATCTTTGGATGGCATTCCTTCTTTCTGATTAGTCAACCAACCCTGAGGCTACAGAGAGTTAAACAGTCACAGAAGGTTAAACTGAGTCCAACATTTCCCAGCCACCTTTGCTGCGGGAGCCATATTGCATCTCTGACTGCCCCTAGAGCATGGCCAGCATCTTCCCAGCAAAGGCAGCAGTTCCTGATGGATGTGGCAAATGTAACTAATACATATATAACTAACGGACAGCCAGCTCTGATGCCTATGCTCACCATGCTCAGTTCAGTTCAAGTTTGTTTAATAGCTATGGCAACCTTCTTCTTTTATTCCTCACCCAAGGACAGTTTTTCATTGCTTATAGAGAGAGGAAGGGGGAGAGAGAGAGAAATATCAATGTGAGGGAGAAAGAGCAATTGGCTGCCTTCTCAAATACACACTGACCAGGAATTGAACCCATGACCTTTCAGTCTATGGGATCACTCTCCAACCATCTGAGCCATACTGGCCAAGACTATGGCAATCTTTTTTTGAAAAAAGATAGAGGATGGATTATATAATAAAATTATATAAACATATATAATAATTATATAGTACTATATAATAAATTACATTGAAGTACTATATCAAAGATATAGTTTATTTAGATATTCAACTGAAGTGTTAATTGAATATAATTTATTTAGAAATAGATATGTAATATTTGATAAAACAAACTAAAGGCTGAATATTAAAGTTTCAAGCTCTGTAAAAATATGGTGAACTTCAGTCTTTGCTCCAATGTCAACTTTTCATGAAGGCCTGTTCTACCTAACTCTAACACCACCTTAGCCATTTGACTGACACCCACCCACCACCCCACCTTGCTCTATTTTTTTCATAATATGTGCCTGCTAGATACAACAAAATCTACACATTTATTATATTTATTATCTTGCAACTAGAATGGAAGTTCCATAGGGTAGCAGGGAGGGGTTTATTGTTCACTGCTGGATTCCTGGCACTTAGACGTGTCCCTGGGCTCAATGAATATTTGCTGGATAAATGAATCAATTAGTGAGGAGAGTACCTCAGACTATAATAAAATAGCAGAAAAGCAGATGCTTTACTAGGATTTTTCTCTTAAAGAATGATATTAAACTGATAGCACAGAAGATAACTTCAAGGGTATCTGTATATCTCTGCTGTTTTCCTTTAGCAAGAAAGGAATGGGAATTTTTCAATGTGAAATTTTATTTTTACACCTTTTGTTGAGGGCCAGATTACAGCTGTGGCTCTCTCAGTTACAGCCTTTTTGTTGTTGTTGTTGTTGTTCCCTTTGATCAGTTAGAATCAAAACTATAGCATAAAGATGATAATTAACCAGCCAAGGAGTTCACGAGCCACATTTTTTTCTATAACCATCTATAAACTCTCCCACAACAGCATACATAAAACCTAGAAGTTGGAGGCTTTTCTTTAGGTAACCCAGTTAAAAGCAGCTTTTCATGGGGCAGTAGAGAAACACAAACATTCATTTTAACTAGCTTCTGCACAAAGCACTTAGCAAATCTTTGAAATGTTCCTTAGTGAGTTGAGACTTTTGAAGAATAGATTGGAACATCTTCAGAAAGAAACTCATAAATTCAAATTGGCATGATAATAAGGGAAAATGCAGACTGTCAGAAGCATGCCCAACGGCTGGACTGTCGCAGGTGGGCACAGAGGGCTGCAGAAAAAGAACCATACTGGACAACCAGTCGAAGGCAGAATGGGAGGCCTTTCCTGTGAGAGAAATAATGAATCACTCATCAGAGCACTAATATTCAACATCGACACAGATCTACTCCCCGTCTGCCCTCCAGAAAAATGGGAAAAGCAGCTGTAGTGACGGGTTGTTTTCATTCCCCAAGACAAAAAGAGCTATTCAGTGGACCAAGAGGAAAAAGAAAACTCTCCAGCCTATAATTTTGCATTACCTGAGAAGTCCTGGGCATTCAGATCTGGTTGCCATGTTGACAGGCCACACTGATCAGTGTGACCACGTACAAGAAGGCCTGAGGACGTACAGGCTCGCAGGGCACAATGCAGCAATTCTGCACACTAGCCAGAATTCAAAGATATGGGATTTGAGAGAAATGTTTGCACCTGAACAAAATCAACCTGTGAGCAAGGGATCATTTTACAAAGATTTAAAATAAAATCTAGAATATAGGCTCTGTAATATTATCAGGCTAATGGTAACTACTGCCTTTAGATGCTGTGTGGCTAAGCCACTTAGCAAAAGAAAAAATGTCTATTGTTCATGAGTTTGAAAAATTGTCCATAAGTTAAACAGAAAAACTAAAATACTAAGTACTGTTATCTGTCCTCTGAGAAAGGAAAAAGCCTTACTAATGGACACTACATTGAGTGTTTCTAATGGGAAGTGGGAAACTTTATTTCATACCTTTCATCACAGTCCCTGCTTCAGGGAATTAAAATAAAATGCACATTTCTGAGGTAGGCACCTCCTCATTTCTTGCAGTGGTAGCTGCCTAAGAAAAGAAGCCTTTCAGGGGACAGGCAGAAACAGGACGTCCTTTGTGCAGAGGACAGTGCTTGACGGAAGTACAATATTAAAGGAATGAGGCAATCTGGAGCAGGTTTGACCGAGAATTTTTAAGTCAAGTAGCCAGGAAAAGCCAGCCATGACTTTTGCTTAGTTTTGTTTACCTTCAGCTTTTCAAAGTAAAGCAAAAAACAAAACAAAGACCACACTTTGAACCTTTATCAGAGCTTAATAATGTCAGCAGCTAGTTTCTGCTGACATTTTTTGAGCAGTCACTATGTGTTGTAAGGAAAGTTAAGTGTTTCACATGCATTATTTCATTCAATTCTCCCAAAATGTCCATAAAATAGGTCCTATTGTTTTATTTACCCATTTTGCATGTGAAGAAACTGAGACTCACATGGTTAAGAAGCCTTGCCCAAGGCCACACAAGAATTGGAGCCAGGAGTCAATCCCCAACTCATTTCAATTCATAGCCCATGCATGATGGCCAATAGCATCAGGTTATTTGGGGTTAGAATTTTCTTAAGGGTGGTATGTTATGAACCAGGTAGCTAGTGTTTTCCAAACTTCATGGCGAATGGCAGCAGTGAGTCAAAACTGGTGGTTCTCTAGAAGGAGGTAGTAACTTGGAAGAGTTGGAAGGGCACTCCTTCAGCCTCTCACATTTCATTTTTCAAGTACAGGCTCAGGTTGTGGGCAAGGGCTAAACCATGGCAATAAAATCTTCCATCAAGTTTTTATATACTTATATGTATATAAAAAGTTTGAAACATAAATGTCCTTTTCTTCTCACTGCTTCTCTAGATTTTGATTGGAGCCGTCATTGCCATGGGCTCAGCCGACAGAGATGGCCGCCTCCACCCAGGAGATGAGCTCGTCTATGTTGATGGGATTCCAGTGGCTGGCAAGACCCACCACTATGTCATCGACCTTATGCACCACGCAGCCCGGAATGGGCAGGTCAACCTCACTGTGAGACGAAAGGTGCTATGTGCAGGTATGTAACTTGAGGCAGCAGCAAGTGTTGGAGATTAGGGGGTGAGATGCTTTTGTGAGACATGCTAAAGACACTGGAGACAAAATTTTAAATCAATTTCTATATTATATGATGGAAGAAACCAACCTAGATATTTCAACTATAAGTGATTTTGAAAGTGCAGATTTTCACCCCATTAGTACAATTCCAGCAGTCTTTGAGGCCTACATTTTCAATGTAGTCATTAAAATTTTCTAGCAAAGCCTGGGGCTAATTTAAGATGTGTATGCTCTTTGCTGCTAGCAGTTGCTAGTTATAAGAACATTACAGTAGTGAAAACTATGGCTTTTGAAACATTCCTCATTGTGTTTACAAATCAAGAACCATAGCATTTTGATACCATAATAAAGCAATAAGGATGGAAAATTGGCTTCCATTGTAGAGCCTGATAAACGGTAACAATAAAACTATTATCCTGATTTACAGAAATAAAGCTGTATGTCATTTTGAGGAGACACAAGTCATATAACTCCAAACTTATGAAACAGATAAATAAGAGTAATTATTCCTTTTACATCCATTTTCCCGACTTCCTAAAAGAATCCACCAAAGACATACTTTTAAAATTCAGCCCTCAGAGTCCTAATATGATTCCATTTCTCTCTTCACCATCTCAACTCCCCAAAAAAGATTTATAGTTTAAGGAATATGTCTAGTACAAGCATCACACTATTTTTTGTAATCTGAGCATTCAAGAACATTGGGAATGTAGTCCCACACCACCTGTTTTTGGCTCTGGGAATCATAGGAGCAGCAGCACCAGCAATGTCTTCCTGTTGCCTTCTGCCTCTATGGCCTGTTGGCCTTTCTGCTTGCCCCCACCCCCCGGACTACTCCTCATACAGAATGATGAATGCTAGAATTAGGGGACAGGGACTTAGGAACGCCACCTCCCTTGTATTACAGTGAGAAGACTGAAACCCAGAGATGTAGTCACTTGCACAGTAGTCTGCAGAGTCAGTGATGATGTGGAGACTTATCTCCCTGGCCAGAGCTTATTTTTTATACCACTTTCAGTCCCCCTCTTCACTCTACCATGAACTCCACTTCCAGTGAATGCAAAGACATTAGACCAACCTTTAGCTAACATCACTGCCCATTATAAGGAGAAGAACTCTTTCACATGTGTTATTATTATACCATGTTTGAATTTTAAAAAAGGGTGGGCCACTGGATGGATAATCTCAGGCTGTGAATGACTTAATAGGATAAAGTTTATTAGTCAAAGAGAAAATCCTTTTCTATTGGAGTCTTCCAGAAACTAGACTTTGAGCAAGGGGAATCATTGAAAAGGGCAAGTCAGAAGGATTGTCAGCCCTCGCCGGTAGAGACTGCCATATATCTCGTATCATATGGAGGTTTTGCTAAGAAGTGTCATTCATCTTCAGAAATTCCTGCCATACCACTTGACCCAAACAAGTAAAACACCTTGAATTATTCTTATTCTTGGGCAAGATGCCAAAAGGAAGACAGTGTTTCCTTGGTTTAACTGTCTCTCTCCCTACAAAGTGATTTTCAATAAAACGTTTCCTGTGGTATATGTTCTGTAACCCAAAGATAAATTAAAAAGATACCTGATTTACAAGGAAATAACTGCAAAGCTCAAAACAAATGCACCAACACAATTTCATGCTCCCCTTGCTACCAGCTGATTATTGCAAATGAAATTTTGTTCTAACCAACCCAAGTTATTGGCGTATGCCAAATGCTGCAAAAAAAAAATGTATTCTTGCAATCTGTGAATCATGTGACTTCCATAAAGATGCTCTTTGCTGCAGTTCTTACCAACTTCACTTATTCAGGCTTTGAAGTGCATTTCAAGTGCATTTAATTTTTTAAAATGTTCTACTGCAGACTGCTCATTCTCACCAGGAGAGTTTCCAAGTTAATTCAGCCCACTCTTCCTTGAAAGCTTCATCAGTGTTGAAAATGATTAAGTTCAGCAAAGGATACTTTGATAGTAAAGTAAATGCCTAAAAATAGTAGAAAAAAGATTTTTAAAGAACAAAAGGCATAGGAAGACAGCCTTTCCTCATAGCTGCCATTTCCCTAACAGTGAGAAGGGACAACATCAAATGCATGTGACAGTGGAGATGACTTTTCAAGGGTTGTTGTATCATTATTATTATGCCTTCCTTAGTAAAGACAGTGGGAGGTACAAGCCTGGGCTTATGATGAGATGATTGAGAGCTGATGGGAAGTGAGCAATTAGCTGCGAAGAGACAGAAGATGAGCAAAAAGAAGGGCAGTGTTGCCACCTTTGTGCACAAAGGAGCAAAACTATAGATAAGGAGCTGGGAAGAAGGGAAGTCATAGAGATCATACCCACCAACCGTCTGCTCACCATGGATTAAGCAAAGACATTGGGCACTGTGTTGATGCTCAAGACAAAAATACATCGAACATGAAAGATACAGACTGGTGAGTTACACTGGAAAAATTAAAATAACACAAAAACCTGCCCCAAATATTGAAATATAAAAAAGTACATGATTAAAATTAAAACATAAAAAAGGCATACAAATACAAAGGCAGTATTTTTGACTAGGCAGTGACAAACTAGATTCTTAAAAATGATAAAATTGTAGAGGGAAGGAGGGAAATGCACAGCAGTGCACCCAATTTTATTTGCCAGATAATTGTATTACTGATCTTGCATTTTGAATGAGTTTTGAAAAATATTCATGCCACCAGATCCAATATTTAGTTGTTTTTTTCCCAAGGATAGTAGAAGAGTGCTTTTAGTTATTACACTGAAAGTATAAATATTTATATGTTTAGTAGCTAAACTTGAGATGTTGACCCTTATGACACAATATTTTAAACACATGCTATTCCTCTGAGAGAACAGTGTGTCCAAGGAATTTCCCAAAGTGTAAATCTAGAACTGATGTGAAAGAAAATTTTATAACTCAATCAAAACATATTAGAGTCCTACTTCTGGTCAAGATGGAGGCATAGGTAAATATGGCTCGCCTCCTCACACAGCCACAGCAAAAATTACAACTAAACTACAAAACAACTTTCATCCAGAATTGTCAGTAAGTTGATATGTGTGGAAATCCAACAAACAAGGAATTGAAGAAGGCACATTCATCCAGATGGGTAGGAGGAGCAGAGATGCGGAGATGCAGAACAGATGGTCCCACACTCACATGAGTTGGATAAAAATCAGGAGGGAGGGATCCTAGCCCTGCACCAGACTACCCAGCCCAGGGTTCCAGTGCCAGGAAGATAAGTCCCTGTAGCTTCTGGTGTATAAAATCAGTGGGGATGGGGAAAGCAGAAGAAATTGCAGGATTCTCGGACATCTGCTTTTAAAGGGCCTGCAATGGACTTAGAACTTATGCAAACTCACTCTGGGCTCCAGCACCAGGGCAGCAGCTGGAAGAGTGCCAGTGGCATACAGGGAGAAAATGAAGTGCCTGGCATCAGGGCAAGTGCTGGGAGACAGCTTCCTCCCAGACAAAGCTCCAGAGACCAGGCAGTGGCCATTTTCTCTTTTCTGAGCTCCGGCCCCCAACACACATACATGCAGAGCCACAAAGCAGCAACACCGTATCAGAGACACCATCAAACTGGTTCATTCAGGTTGCCCCACCCTGGCGATTACCTAAGGCTCTGACCCAACCATCTTACTGGTGTGCTTTTCTACAATAGGTCATGCTACTAAGACAGGGAGTTAAAGAAGCTCTACCTAATACACAGAAACAAACACAGGGAGGCTGCCAAATTGAGGAGACAAAGTAATATGGCCCAAATGAAAGAACAAAATAAAACTCCAAAAAAAGAACTAAACAAAATAGAGATAAGCATTCTATCAGATACAGAGTTCAGAACAGTGTTTATTAGGATGCTCAAGGAACTCAATGGGTATTTCAACAGCATAAAAAAGACACAGGCAGAAATAAAGGTACACTAAGTGAAATAAAAAAAAATTTACAGGGAATCAACAGTGGAGTGGATGAAGCTGAGAATCAAATGAATGATTTGGAATATGAGGAAGAAAAAAAATTCAATAAGAACAGCAAGAAGAAAAAAGAATCCAAAAAAAACAAGGATAGGTATGGAATCTCTTGGACTACTTCAGACATACCAACGTTCAACTCATAGGGGTGCCAGAAGAAGAAGAGAAAGAGCAAGAAATTGAAAAGTTATTTAAACAAATAATGAAAGCAAACTTCCCCAATTTGGTGAAGGAAATAGACATATAAGTCCAGGAAGCACAGAGAATCCCAGAAAAGATGGATGCAAAGAGGACCACACCAAGACACATCCAAAGGTTAAAAATAGAGAATCTTAAGAGGAGCAAGAGAAAAGCAGATAGTTACTTAAATGGAGTTCCCATAAGACTGTCAGCTGACTTCACAAAAGAAACTTTGCAGGCTAGAAGGAACCAGCAAAAAGTATTCAAAGTGATGAAAGGCAAGGACCTATAACCTAGATTACTCTATCCAGCAAAGCTATCATTTAGAAACTGAAGGGCAGATAAAGAGTTTCCCAGACAAGGTAAAGCTAAAGGAATCCATCATCACCAAGCCATTATTATAAAAATGTTAAAGGGACTTATTTAAGAAAAGAAGATCTATGAACATTAAAATGGCATTAAATTCAAACTATTAACAATTGAATCTAAAAAACAAACTAAGCATAACAGCAACAAAATCATACATATGGAATCATTTGGAGGGTTATCAGTTGGGAGGGAGAATAGGGAGAATGGGGGCAAAGATGCAGGGATAAAGATGTACAAATTGTTAGGTACAGAATAGACAGGATGATGTTAAGGACATTACAGGAACTGGAGAAGGCAAAGAACTTAGATGCATCACCTATGAACATGAACTAAGGGGGTGATTGCTGGAGGGAATGGGGGTCCCAGGTAGACAGGGGCAAATGGAGAAAAATTGGGACAACCGTAGTGGTATGATCAATAAAATATATTTAAAAAATAAAAGCAGACAAGATGAAAGACAAAAGACATATTAGAGTCCATCTTAAAACCACCAGCATCTTTTCTCTAACACCTAAAGGAACATCCAATTCTTGTCCTAATGCCGAGAAAGGGGAAAAGTTTTCTTAGTAACTGAGTGAAAACTTTAGCTAGTGTTTAGGGAGCCAGTGAATTCCTGGTCCTAGTTACCACACTTTTTGTTAATTCAAAATGCATTCCCTTATGCTTTATCTATGAGCATGACACCCATTTAAATAAGTTGTCTTAGTGAGTGTAAATCAGGGGTGCACAGACTCAAATTCTTGTGGGCAGGCCAGCCCCTGGTGCAGGGCCACAGCCTATGGGTTGCCCCTGCTCCATCAGGCACCCTGAGGATGCACATGCATGTCAACATCCCAGCCCACATGTCCAGGCTCTATCCACATACAAACCCTGTTGTCTCAGCAATGCTTCAACATGAGACATGATCATCTGCAGTGCAGCCATCCCTCTGGGGACAGTCCTGAGAAGAGGCCCAGGCCTGCCCTGGGAGCAGGCAAGGTCTATTTGGTGACAGAGCCCTGGAGTCCTGGCACCCAGTATGTGATCTAGAAGGGAAATGAGGGCTCCAGTTAAACAAGTCCGTTAGGCCCTGCATACGCCCCACTCTGTGGGTAAATTAGCAAATGAGGAATTTGCAAGAGACGTTGGGGAATGGTTGGGACTGTGATGAAAACACACTTCATAGCCCATCAAGGGAGCAGCCACTGCCCACTACCAACTATTCACTACCTATTCTAGCTATTCACTACCAACTATTTCAAGAGACACTAGAAATCCATATTTCTATAAAAATTTACCTATTTAGAAACACTGACAATTAATTTTAACAACACGCAGACCAACACTGTGCAGGAATAAATGGGTCTGCTGACCTAGTCAAAACATCTCAACTGGGGGCACAGTCAGTGACTCCTGCTTCCCAAACAGAGACCCTCTCTGTCAGCCAGTGACGATTTCCAGTATAACTGATGGGGACAAAACAGAAGCTTAACTAAGCATTAATTGATTTGAGTAGCTACTAAGTGACTGAATTCTGTACAATCACTTGCGTGTGAGACAAAAGAATAAGTCAAGGATGCTAAAAGTTGGTGAATTTTTAAAAATGCACATGGAATTTAGTCACTTTGTGACATTTTACCATATTATTCTAAAACAATGATATTCATGTCCTATACCAAGAAGGGTTGTTGGAGAAAAGAGCCTTATTTGGACACAGAACTGGCTGAGCAGAAAAATAATGTCGAGTCAATACAATCCCTCAAAGTCAATCATTGGAAGTCTTCTTAACTCCTTGGTTTTAAATGTGTTCATATTGTCAAAGAACTTTGTTCTAGAGATTGAAAGGGAAATCCAAAAGCAATAGAAAAGTATCCTATTAATGTACTTAACTATTTCATGTCGACTTCGTCTGTGATTTTCTTTCTCTCCGTAGAACTTGTGGCACAGCCACTCCCAGCCATTTATTGCAAAGATGTAATTTTTCTTTGTTGCTGCTTTACTGACAACCCCAGCTCTCAGCCCCCTAAACTATGACAGCCAGAAAATGAGATCTCCCTTGTCACTGCCTATGACATTTAGTTACTGATTTGGTCCAATAACTCGGGGAGATTTTCAATTTAATGTTGCAGTATAGTAATTGTTTGTTTTTCTTCTTCCTATCTCTGATCACTTTATTTCCAACTCACAGAAGGACTGATAAAGGACATGTGCTTCACCAAGACAATAACAGCATGTCTTTGGATGATGTTTTCTAGCAGAGAGGCTACGTTTTACAGGCAGTTTTAATTCTGATAGAAAAGAAGAAAAGGCTTTGACATTGACATTTGTCCTTTTATAACCTCAGTACATTTTTTTTAGAGTTAAAAAGAATCTATTTGTTTTCTTTTATTAAAACCTGATTAGTTAAATCTTAACCAAGAAAATCAAATTTGTCAAATGATAATAAACAGCAGCCTGGATCTTATTCAATAATTACAAAGAAGAAATAAATACATTTTTGTAAGGCCATTTTTAATCTGGGTATGTGAATAAACGCGCCTCCTCTTTCTTCAGCTGTCAGTGCAACAGAACCTTTCTTGTAGTCTGTTCTTCCTCCTTCTCCCTGAATTGCAGCTTATAAAGTTAAGAGCCTCATTGGCACTTTTGCTAGCTATTTTAACTTGCTATATGAGACACTTTCCAGAATTCTAAGTAGAAGACCATATCTAGAGACCATCCTCCCCCAGAAATCATTAATTGTGATTCTTTTCCATCTTACTATTCCTCTGTTCCATATCATCTTTTGAGTACACTAATTAAGTTGTAAGATGGAGATGAAACAGTCCTATTTCCAATTACAGTACTCTGAGTGCCCACTTCAGCTCTTTTAATCAAGATACCATAACCTAGGTATTAAATTAAAATGACAAAATTCTTTCTGGATGACAGATCAACTTTCATTTTAAAAACTAGCTTCTCTTGGCTGCCAGCTTTCTATCCTTTCTCTCTATGAATAGGTTTGCCTTCTCATGGAAGTAGTGATTTGGTGTATCTCTTTGATAATAGGGTATATTTTTTAATAATACAGAATGTAAATGAGCAAGTCCTCCAACACCTCCCTTAGTGATTCCAAATTCATCGTTCCTTATTCTGATAATAATGTTAGATCTTAGAGTGAGCAAAATGCATTAAGAACAATGTTTTCTACCTACATGAAGTGAATTAACACTTTTAGGCTAACAGAATTAAATAAAACCATGGCTCGTTAGTAAAATTATGACAGATCACTTTACATGGACATCCTCTGGGCTGTCAGCCTCTCTTACAAGACTTCTACAGCATTTCGTGAAGTGTACCCTTGAAGCCTTGTCATGATTCCTGTGCCCAATTTTCCCTAGATCTACTGAAAAAAGTGTTCCATATGTGGTCTCTGAAGATGCATATTTTTATAAGCTCTTTAAGTAATTCTTATGCATAGGACTGTTTAAGATTCTGTCCACTTGTTTTATGACCTTCTTTGATCACTTATTTCTATACAAATAAGAGGCTTGATATCTGTAACTAGGGATTGTCTTGGGGGGCTGCACTCTTGGCAAGAAGAAAATACAAACAGGTAGCAGCATGTAGGAGGCTGATGAGGGGTTTTACCTGTGTTTGCCATGAAACGTGGAAAAGGAACCAAGACCTTTATAGCTGGGTTTGTGGCTCTGCACTCCTGGGGGGTTTAGAAGCCAGTCAATCAATCTTGTAACAGTGCTGGTGTCCAGAACAGTGCCTGGTACACAGCAGGCACCCACCAAGACCTTGTTAAATAACCCAGTGCCTGTATTCAATGTTGCTCCAGGGGAGCCCTGCCCAGAGAATGGGAGGAGTCCAGGCTCCGTATCAACCCACCACAGCTCTCCACGCAGTGACTATGCGACCTACACCAACAGCAACCACGCAGCCCCCAGTGGCAACACCTCTCCCCCTGAAGGCTTCACCTCCCAGAGCCTACAGACCAGTGACGTGGTCATTCACCGAAAGGAGAACGAGGGCTTCGGCTTTGTCATCATCAGCTCCCTGAACAGGCCTGAGTCGGGATCCACTATAAGTAAGTGACGGCTTCCCCTGCCCTTGAATAAGAGGTCTTGTTTTATTTTCTTCTGGTGGTAGGGACACTGACAAGCAGATTAGAGGACTGGTGTGAGCCTACCACGGAGCCTGAAAGTCATAGGCCATGTGCACAAAGAAAGCATCCTTAACACTCGATTAGCCAAATGTTGCTGATCTTTGGCTCAGGAAGAATGCAAGACCACAACCCAGCACCCCCACAGAAGCTCCTCATTTATTTTAAACTGGAAGGAAAATAAAACAGAGTGAAGTGGGAGTGTTGGCGCAAGGGGAGGGGTGCTCCTGTGTGATAGAATGAAACCAGATCTGCAGAGGATCTGGGGGAAGCCGTCTAAGCAGCATCCTTGAGGTGGGAAGGAGCTCAGCATCGAAGAAACGCACAAAAGCCTGGTGTGGCTGTGGCAGAGTGAACAGGGAGAGCGGTGCAAGACCAGAGGACTCACAGGAGCCAGGTTGCTCAGGGTTTCATTTACCCATGGGAAGAAGTCTGGACTGTAGTCTAAATCCTTCAGAACCACTGGAGGGTTTTAATCAGTGGATGGGAACCTGACTTATATTTTTAAAAGATGAGCCCAGCTGCTTGTGGAAAATGAAATCATGGGAAGGAAGCAACAGTGGAAGTACAAGACAGTTAGGGGCCATTCTAACAGCCCTGTGGGTCCAGAGATAGTGTCTCCTTCCGCTTAGGTAATAGTAGTGCGTAGGAGGGAAGAAGAAGAGGACTTTACTTCCTGGGGTCCTTGAGATCTAAGGTTCTATGCATCTGCACCACAGGGGACAGTCAGAGGTCATATTTTTCTTCCAGTGAGTCATCTCTGTAGATACACAAGTTTCCTCAAAGGCTTTCCTTCCAGCAGTACTAATCCAGAAGCCACTCACAGCCAGCAAGCAGTAGGACAGAAGAGGCGACAAGAACACTTGTTCATTTTTCACATTGAAATCATTTAGCCTAAAATGCTGTGGATAAAATACCAGAATAGAGAGCATTAAGGAAAAAAAATAATTGAGTCATGTTATCGTTCAAATTCATATAAATTGTGGTTGTTTCCAGTACATGGTTGGCAGAGGGAGGTGTGTTTTTCAAACGGTACTCAAGAAATCAAATTATTAGAAGGAATGAGAATGTTCTGTGATTAACTTTATGTTATCAAAACGCCACCAGAACTAAATGGAAAGAAGTGCTCTGATTAGTTTTAGCTTTGACAAATTCAAGAGTGAAAACTGTAGAATTGTTATACCTCAGTGAATATAAGCTGAAACTAAATTACATCCATCTGAAAGTAAAGTTTCATTTCTCTTTTTCTTCATGATAAGCTGAAGCAATAAATTCTACCTTTAAGTGTAGAGCGAAAGCAGAATTCTGTCAGTAGGATGGATTCACCAAGATTAAAAGGACACAAGACTAAATATTTTCATAAATTATATAAACAGTCTTCCAATAATTTACACTGGGAGAAAATGTTCACCAAGAGCTTTTGCAACCATTCTAGTCATTCAAATTGTTTATTGAGGAAGGGCACCCAAAGGAGTGGAATAAAAATAAAAAGTGTACTACCACAATGAAGGTGTTAAGCATGTGATATTTATGGTCTCAACTTTATTTGAAGTGTGACAACATTATAGCTAAATGTGTAGAGGTGTGTACATGCATGCACTTACTGCCTAAAGAAACTACAAATGCTTTTTCTATTGCAAATAAAATTCATGCATAGGTATAGTTGGAAAGCAACAGGTGCAAATGCTTACAATTAACATGTTAATTTTTTTCTTCTGACCAAGTGACAATAAACCTCAAAAGAGTAATTCTAATTCTAACCATTCTCAAAATAGCATTATTTTACATCATCCTGGTGAGTGGAAATATCTGGAGGTCATAATGCTTCCTGGTTTCATTTTTCAGATATTTATTTCTTTTCAATTTAAAGAGTTTGAAATGCAGGTTGCTCCATGTTCTTTGGTTACAGCAGAGCCTATGGTATATAATTTACAGCATGCACCTAAAAGGTCCCTGGACCTGGTGCTGTTTCATATTTCTGCAATAATTTTGAATTTGTAATTTTGAAGAGATGTGCTAAGTGCCTCATAAATGGCAAAGAGTCTCAGTTGTAATACATGTCCATTGTCATACTATCCAGGGCTCTGTGACACTGGGAGAGCAAAATACTCTAAGGTTTTCAAGAGTCACAATCATTCCGGGGGTTTGTGTCATTTTTCTCTTTTTGTCTTTCCTGAGCCCGAGGATCTTGAACATATCTGTGGTTTTGCTCATGGCTGTTGAAGCCATTCCGTTGGCAGACAGAATGCTGTTATGCCTTCAGTGAATGCACCATCCGCTTCAGGCATGGGGGTGGTCGGTTAACAGCCCAGATGCCATAGTCACACTGCCCGGATTTGACACCTGGCTCATCATTCACCAGCTGTGTGACCTTGAGGAAGATACATGACTTCTTTGGGTCTTAGTTTCCTTGCTTGTAAAGAGATCATTTTAGTACCCACGCCATGGGGTTGCTGTGAGGGTTAAATGACTTAGTACATGGAAGTGCCTAGAAGAGCACTGGCTCAAGGGAAGCACCAAATATGTCATTGTTGCATTCCTGACCACCGTCCCTGCTAGGGGTTCTCTCTCCATCCCATCAGCTTACTCTTCTTGGACAGTGCAGATTTCACACTGGCTGTCAGCTCAGTCAGAGCAGTGAAATCTGAGCAGCAGATGAGCATGGTAAGAGCCACCGCCCCCCTCCCTACCCTCCAGCCCCCTGGGAGCCCTGCCTCCCCCGCCCCCCCCCCACAGCCCAGGCCAGCAGTGGGGACAGAACAGTGGCAGCCAGGTCAGTCCAGCTGAAGGTGCCCTTGCTGAAGCTTCAGGCGGGGCGTCTCCCCAGAATGCACTAGGTAATCAACTAGAAAAGTCAAGGGTAACATCAAAATTCAGACTCAAAGCTGTGCTATCAGAATGTCCCTGCAAACATGACACCTAATTTGAATATATCAAAGAAGAAAGGAGAGATGAAGAGCTCAAATGTAAACTTCCCCACCCTGCACACTCACAGTTCCTTCAGCCCAGGGACCAACTTTGCTGGAGACACCAGATGTTTAATCAATTGAGAACTTGGAAGGTGAGATTTCTGGCTTACTATTGCCTGCCAATTAGTAGGGCTCTTTACCAAAGCCTCAAATTTTTTTTCAAAATACTATTTTTTCAAAAAAGAAAAAAGAAATTTTCTTTATATCAATAATGTAATTAAACAGCATACTTCTTCCAAAACCAGTGACTCAGGAGGCCACATATTGTCTGGGAGCAAACAGATCTTAGAAGATTTCTATCTGAGGTGAGGAATATCCTTCTTGATTTAAAGTGAGAATAGGCAAGCTTCCTGAGTGTTTTTATCCCATTATCCAAAATTAAGTTTTTTTTCTACACCTTAAAATTAGACCCACAGGAAAACAAAGTGGTTTGCAGAATGGAGCCTATAATAAGAGTAAACTGTAATAGGAAATTGCATTTTAAATTTTCAAAAAGACTCGAATAAAGATTTATATACAAAGATGTTTATTGCCGTATTACTGGTAATCAGAATATTGGAAATAATCTTAGAAGCTTCTCGGAACCTAGAAACTTTGGTGTCTTTGGGATCCTTTCTCTACAGTCTTGTAGACATAGGATGCAAGACCCAGGCAGCCCTCTGACTTCAAGTGAATTGAATGCTTACTATATAAAAATGTGCAGGTAGCCATGTGCAATGGGGGTTCCACATTGGTCTTTGGGCCTCTCCAGCTCAAGGCTGAGTGCTGACATCCAGGTTTTATTGCACAGATGTAATCTGGTCCTTACAGGTGCTTCCTGCTGTCCCCCACCTCCCAAACCTGCTTTCCCACCAGAGTTCCCAAGAAAGGCTTTGGCACAAATGATGAAATAGAAATGACCCTTAGTCACCTGCTTTTCTATAGTTTGTCAGAAAGGATATGCTGACATTTATCGGGTAGGCATACGTGGGCAGCTTGAACACCAGCGGTGGAGGCTGGCAGCCTGTTGAGAGAATCTGTAAACTTAGATGCAGGCCCTTCACAAGCTATGAGGTAGAACATGTTCAGGACAGCAGCTGCAGCAGCACCTAAGCAAGGGGTCAGCAGTCAGGGAACAATCGCTTCCACCCTTCCTTCCTTCCTTCATTCCTATTGTCCTAACAGCACTGACTCTGTTTTCTGTGTCTTTATTGCAAACACATCACTGGCCAGCTTGGCTTCCTAACAATCTTTCAGCTCTGTACTGGTGCTGGAAATCTTTGTTTCCATGTGTATATTTCTTTGGCAAAGGTTGGAGTACAGACTTGGCCATTGCTGATTTCCAGTTAGGCCCACACTGCAATCCAGTGTTCTAAAAAAAGTTCATCATTCTTTGGTAAAATGCCCTGATGGCTTTCTCAAAATCCTTGATGATGTCCGTAGGCTTTGGAGGTTAAAAGCTATTCTAGAGATTCAAAAGCAAGGCTAGCGGGTCTTTTATGACATTTTAAGAAAGCATGAAATAGCCCTGGCCGGTTGGCTCAATTGGTTGGAACATAATCCCATGCACCATAAGTCTGTGGGTTTGATCTCCAGTTGGGGTTCATATGAGAGGCAACAGATTGATGATTCATTCTCTCTCTCTCTCTCTCTCTCTCTCTCTCTCTCTCTCTCAAATCAATACAATAAACATATCCTCTGGTGAGGATTTTTTAAAAAAAGGTTAAAATAAAACTGAACAAGCAGGGAAGCAGGTTAAGATTTTTCCCACCAAAAGTCACACCACCAACCATACAGCCAAGGAACAGTCATTTGAACTTAGGGGAGGTACAAATTAAAACCAAAAAGCCAAGATTTCTGTAGTCTTGCTGTATTACAAGGAGATTTAAACTAAATAAAAGTGCATTGGACAACAAGCACAAGCCTCACTCCTGCTTACCCAGCGACTGTGGTGTCCCCGAGCAGGTCACTTGGCCT